GTTTAGGTTTTGAGGGGTTGCGGTGACAACTCGACCATGGGCAGCACAACTCATCAACTATAGATCTCACAGTTGCTGCATGCAGTGTCTGGTTGCACCTTGGCGGGAAACCCTAAACCCTAATTAAACCCTAAACCCTAAACCCCGCCCCCTTCAAAAAAGCCGAAGCCCACGCACCTCCGTCGCCGAGACTCAGGAGCCCTAAACCCTAAACTCCTGAAACCCTAGTAGCCCTAAACCCTAAACCCTAAACCCTAAACCCTAAACCCCAAACTCCGCCCCCTGTAAAAATACAAAACAAGCCGAAGCCTAAACCCTAATACCCTAAACCCTCAACCCTAAGCCCTAAACCCCAAACCCTAAACCCCGCCCCCCTGTAAACAAAAAAAACAACCCGAAGCCTAAACCCTACTACGCTAAACCCTAATACCCTCAACCCTAAACCCTGATCCCCTCAAGAGAGAGAGAGCGGCCAGGGGAGGCCTCCTCCTGGGACGCCGAGCTGGGCTCAGGGCTCAGAGCACCCAGGGAGCACAAGAGGTTTCTTCATTTAGGGTTTAGGGTTTAGGGTTTAGGGTTTAGGGTTTAGGATTTAGGATTTGGGGTTTAGGGTGTAGGGTTTGGGGTTTAGGATTTATTAGGGTTTGGGGGTTGTACAGTTTAGGGCTTAGAGTGTTTAGAACTGTTCTGTTTGAGGACTATGTGCCTTAAACTGTACATGATGAAGAGTATTGGTCTCTCGCTGGACACTGATTTGGGGGTTTACGAAAATAAGGGCCAAATAGGCGGATTCCCTTGCAATAGGGACCAGAATGAGGGACCCCTAATTTCGGAAACCCCCATTTTGCTTCACCGCATGCATCTTGTAGTCTAGGCTCTACGATCAGATCAAATCAAGGACTTCTACCCGAAACCCTAAACCCCAAACCCTAAACCCCACACCCTAAAGCCTGAACACAAGGTCGCATGGGGTTTACGCGTTTCACTGCCATGTGTTGGTGGAGATTGAATCTGTTCGAGGGGTCGGTGGGCAGCAGCTCCATGCCCTGAAGCCCCTGAACTTTAACCTAAACCCGAAACCCGAAACCCTAGAACCCTAGAACCCTATAACCCTATAACCCTAAAACCCTATAACCCTATAACCCTAAACCCTAAATCCTAGAACCCTATAACCCTAAACCCTATAACCCTATAACCCTATAACCCCTACAAGCCCTTGAAACCCTACGGAAGCCCCGGAGCCCCCCTTGACGCGGCCACAGATAAGCTGGGCTTCGTGGAGCCCCTGCTGCGGTGGGCCGAGGCGACCAAGCGCCACATGTTTTGAAGGGCTTAGGGTTTAGGGTTTAGGGTTTAGGGTTTAGGGTTTAGGGTTTAGGGTTTAGGGTTTGAACTGCGAATCGTATTTGTACTGTGGCCCTATGTTTGTATACTACAGCAAGGCCCCCCCCCCAGGTCCCTACATTCGGTTTCAGGGTATGTGCTGATGACTTTCATGGGGTTCGTATCTTAGAGACCGCGGAAGCCTAGAGATCCTCAATTTTTCCACGACCCCCGCACAGCTCTCGTGGCTCTGGGCTCTTGGGATGTTCCCCCCTATACTAACAGTCCTTACAAATTAGGGACTTGCTAGAATCCCCCTAGACCTAAACCCTAGGCCCGAAACCCAAAGTATCAGGGGGAACATCCCAACTGGTCTCGTTCAAGACTTGGAGGTTCATGGGTACTTCTAACCACAACTATACGTCTACCTATTTTAGTAACCTATTTAGGGGACTTCGGGGGCTGATAAGTCCAGGTAGAATTGGAGTTATAAGTACCCTGAACCTCCAAGTAGCGTCCACGGCCCAGACCTGCAGCGCAGGCGAATGGATACGCCAGCGCTTTCTTCAGCCACCAGGCAAGCTCTCCTAAGCCCTACCTGAGCCCTGTAATACAGGGTTTTGGAGTACTTTACTATTTTTTGGTTCTGGGTTCCTATTCTAGCTACTTATACCGAAAAAAGTATATACAAGCCACACACCTGGGGATGCAAGCGACACACCTGGGGATGCTGTGAAATTGCCCTACTTAGCCTACACTTGACCTTTAAACTTTTGGGCTTCCCTATGTAGTAGGAATAGTAAAGCTTGACCTTGTTTCCCCTTGGTTACTGGAGAAGTAAGTTGAGGGTTTAGGGTTTAGGGTTTAGGGTTTAGGGTTTAGGGTTTAGGGTTTAGGGTTTAGGGTTTAGGGTTTAGGGTTTAGGGTTTAGGGTTTAGGGCCGGATCAGCAGGATCCTTGGGTCGTCTTTGAGTCTTGGAGGGGCCCCAAGCCCGAAATAAACCCTGAACCCTGAACCCTAAACCTTAGTAGCCCTAGACGCCAAACCCTAGTAGCCCTAAACCCTGCGTGCACAGGCGCTGTGCCAGTCTCCAGAGGAGACTTGGGACCGCGTGGTGCGCGGCAGCCCGGCGAGGCGGCTGGGTGCGTTTTGTTTTTGGTTTTTGGTGTTAAGGTTGACTGAGGTTTGGGGTTTAGGGTTTTGGGTTTGGGGTTTAGGGCTTGGGGTTTAGGGTTCTAGGGTTCGAGGGTTCTAGGGTTCTAGGGTTCTAGGGTTTAGGGCTTAGGGCTCAGGGTCTCAGGGCTGGGTGTGTTTTTTGAGGGGGAAGCTGTTTAAGTCCTAGGGCTCAGATTATTTAGGCATAGGGTCTAAGGGTTGCTGGGCTTGCGGAGTTGCAAGCCTGGGTTTCACAGGTCATCTCGTCTATAGACCTTGCAAGCCTAAAATCCGCCCTGCCGGATTCGGATCAACGTTCGTTTGAACGATCTTGCCGTTACTATAGGGCCCTCCTGAAGCCCACCTCAATGACTCAATCCTGAAGCCATCAACCCTAAACCTACACCTTAAACCCTCAACCCTAAACCTCAAACCCTCAACCCTAAACCGTAAACCCCAAACCCCAAGCCCCAAGCCCCAAACCCCAAACCCCAAACCGGCCAAACCGCAAGGCATGTGTCTGTGATGGTGGCCGGCGGAATGCTGAAAGTGCTGGAGGCCGCGCTTCAGCCTGCGGCCCAGCATGTCCCGTGTCCACGCCTGCCCTCCAGAATGCTCAATTACCTTAAACTCTAAACCCCAAGCCCTAACCCCTAAACCCTAACCCCTAACCCCTAAACCCTTATCCCTAAACCCTAAACCCTAAACCCTAAACCCTAAACCCTAAACCCGAAACCCTAAACCCTAAACCCTAAACCCTAACCCCAACGCAAGTGGGACACACATGGACTCAAAGAGTACCCAAGCAAGCCCCGTGCGAGGCATAGTCGACCTTCCACGACCCAAGACCTGGACTATCTTCTTACATGGCCCCTTCCCCTAAACCCTAAACCCTAAACCCTAAACCCTAAACCCTAAACCCTAAACCCTAAACCTAAACTCTAAACCCTAGACCCTGAACCCTGAACCCTAAACCCTGAACCCTGAACCCGAAGCCCTTCCCGGCCCTCATCTGGGGAACTCTTATATACCTCCTATATACTCTATAAGGCCCACGGGCCCATACTTGAACCCTTGGAAGAAGGGGACCATATAGAAGGGACAAGGAAGCTACACTTAGAGACCAGGGGGGGTTGCGAACGGCGCGCTGAGGCAGGTGCATCCGCTGCTGTGTCTCCGGCGAAGTTGGCTTCGGGTTTAGGGTTGAGGGGTTTAGGGTCTAGGGTTTAGGGTTTAGGGTTCGGGCAGTGCAGACATGCACAGCTTAAGTTTTAAACTGGTTTAAGTACTCTGAGCTGTATAGGACTATCATCTTCAGCAAAGACTCCCCCCTCCCCCTAAAAACCCATAGTTAAGATCAACCGTTGCATGCAGCTTCCGGCGCTTGTTTTGGCTGGGTGGCCCTAAACCCTAAATCCTAAACCCTAAACCCTAAACCCTGAACCCTGATGGCATGGCAGGTTCTCGCGGTTTCGTACCATCTGCATCCATGGCGAGGATGCCTTGGAGGACTGTAGAATGCCGGGTGTATTTGGGGTTTAGGGTTTAGGGTTTAGGGTTAGGGTTTAGGGTTTTGGGTTTTGGGTTTTGGGTTTTGGGTTTTGGGTTTTGGGTTTTGGGTTTTGGGTTTTGGGTTTTGGGTTTTGGGAATTGTGGATTTGGGGTGCCAGCGTCAACAGGGTATCTTGAGGTCGTTGCTGAGGGGCTTTTGTTGTTGTTCGGTGTTCGTGACTGTCGGTGTATGTCCAACTGAAACTAAGCTCTCAGCTGAACTCCCCGAACCTCTAAACCCTACCAGGATGTTCAGGGTACTTGTAACCCCAATTTCAACTGCACTTATACGTCCCCTAAGTCCTCTAAATAGGCTATGAGTAGACTTATAATTAGGGTTTTAAGTACCCATGAACCTCCAAATAAGCCCCAAGATCCCTTGCAAGTGTTAGGTTGGCATGGCAGCATGTGTCAACAGGGGACTCAAGGACCCTTATAAGGGACCGGGGTTGTTTAGGGGCTACTTCGGTACACAGGGACTATCTAAGGAAACTATAGGGGTTATATAGGGGAATAAGATTAAAACGCCCCTTCTAGGGGTCCCTCCTTATACCCAGTAAGTTCGGTTGGCCTGAAGCATGTGTCGCGTCTACGTCTGAGAAGCCGTCTGCCGGACCGCGGCCCGGCAGAGTATCGTCTGCCCCTTGCGTGCTGATGACTGGGTTCTTTCAAAGATTACCGCCGCAGGGCGCCAAGGAGACTGGATGCAAGTTAAACGAACGTTTGCACGCTATACTGGCAGAGATCTTCCTGTATTCCACGCAGTCATGCATAGTGCATATATCTGTAGCCAGTATAAGGAAGGCGCGCGTGTGTATCAACAACTCTGTGATTCCCAAATTGGAAAAGATGCGCCATTGTATGCCACGGCGGTGAAGCTTTTCGCGAAACTAGGTGATCCAGATATGGTCAAGGGTATCTGGCAAGACTCGACAAGCTACTTGCTGCTGCTCGCATAGAAGCTGCGGCGATGCAGGGCGACATAGAGACAGCTGCGCAGGTGTTGGATCAGATGAACAGTTCCGGTGTTGAAATCAATGTCGGCCACATCACTTCGGCCATGCGCGCTTGCTGGGAAGCCTCCGGAAGCACGCATCATGCGGCAGACTTTCTTTTCGGGCTGCTGCTGGATCTCGAGCTGCAGCCCGATATTGCCGTGTTCACGTGCCTGGTTGGAGCCTACAAAACAGCTCCAGTTGAGAAGCTGACTAATGCTTATGCAACCATGAAGGACTTCGGCATCAAGCCGGATTTTGCATTCGCAGAGACATATCTGGGCACCTTACTCCGGAAGCCCAAAGAGAAGAAATTCAACCAGCCAGAGATGATAGCATGGTTGCACCAAGTACCGATGCCGCGGATCGCTGCCGCCAAAGTTGCGATGAAAGACTTCCAGCTTGGCAGGTTGAAGCTGACATCTCTGAGCCGCAAATTCGTTGCTGCCCTGCAGGAGCTATAAGTGGCATTGCAGGGGTTAGGGTTTCGGGTTTAGGGTTTAGGGGGGTTTAGGGTTTAGGGTTTAGGGTTTAGGGTTTAGGGGCAGGTATGGGTGTTGAGCATCAGGCGTCAGATGGCATTGCAGGCTGGGCATCAGGCGTCAGGCGCACGAAACAAAACATTGACTAGGGACGTAGATACCTTACACACCCCCTTGAAGGAACAAGAGCTTCCTTAGATATAATTCCGTACAGAAGTTCCAGCAAACTTATAACACCCCCAGCAGCTTAACCTACTAAGCCCTATACCGCAAACCCCCCCCCCCCCCCCCCCCCCCCCCTCCCCCATATGCGCTGATACCTGAAGCCCAGGCCCTCATCCCTAAACCCCAACCCCCGAAGACGCAAGCCCCTAAAACCCCACGCCCTGAAGCCCGAAAAACCCTGCAACCCTGCAACCCTAGGACCTCAAACCCTGAAGCCCCAAACTTAAACCCTAAGCCCTAAACCCCTGGAGCCCCTCAACTTGAGTGCTCCGATCTGCAGGACTTCGCGTCTGCTCCAGCTGATCTCAGGCATTTTGGGGCTTTAGGGGTTTAGGGGTTTAGGGGTTTAAGGTTCAGGGTTTGGGGTAGCACGGGCCCTTTAGCAGGGACCTGTCTTCCAGGCCAGCACAGGGTTGCTGGGTCAGGTTTTTGGATTTCGGGTTTAGGGTTTAGGGTTTAGGGTTTAGGGAAAGTGTTATCTTGTCTAAACACTTCAGCCCTACGCATGACCCAACTTATGTCAAATCCACTAAACTCATCAACACCATAAACCCCATAAACCCCACGAACCCCAAAGCGTGAAGTCCTCATCCCTCAACCAAAAATTCCAGAACCCCTCCAGCCTTCCTCCAGGTTCCATTTGCCTACACGTTCTGAGTATATGGCGAATGATGGAATTTGGCTCGCTATAGAATCCCTCAAAGGGTATAATACGGGGATGTCCAAAGTACCTAGTTCTCTCTCATTCCCGATTCCCTAGCGTAGTAGTGCCCACCCCTTACGGTTCGGGTGTTTTTTTGGCGGTGACAATGAGGAATCATGTACTGTAGCACTGTTCTCGAACACCCCCTCCCCCCTCCCAAAGGGTCCTGTCGTGCAGGTCAATCCCCCGAACATCCGGAGCCCTACTGGACAGCCAACAAACCCCTAAACCCCTAAACCCCTAAACCCCTAAACCCCTAAACCCCTAAACCCCTAAACCCCCTAACCCCTAAACCCTAAACCCTAAACCCTAAGCCCTAAGCCCTAAAACCTAAACCCCACATCCCAAGCCCAAGGCGGCATCTCGAGGCCACAACAGCCCCGTTCTCGGTTTAGGGTTTACGGATGTTCCCTCCGTTTCCTAAGATAAGAGTCACGGATCAAGATGGGGGGTTACTAGAACAACTATCAAGAGAGCTGTTAGCATAAGGTGCTAGTACAAGGGGGAGCATCCCAAGTTTAGGGTTTTGGGGATTGGGGTTTAGGATTTGTGGTTTTTGAAACCGGGGGGGGGAGGGGGCAGATTGCGTAGCAGGGGGGAGGGTTTCGGGTTTAGGGTTTAGGGTCTATAGGGTTTAGGGTTTAGGGTTTAGGGTTTAGGGTTTAGGGTTTAGGGTTTAGGGTTTAGGGTTTAGGGTTTAGGGTTTAGGGTTTAGGGTTTAGGGAAGTATCAACCTGAGGTGGCGCTGCCCTCGAATTGGGAAGGGCTCGAGCGCCAGGCTGGATGGAGGGAATGAGGAAGCTCCGCGGGCTTGCGGTTCAGAGTTTTTTGGGGTTTAGTAGGGTTTGGGGTTTAGGGTTTAGGGTTTAGGGTTTAGGGTTTAGGGTTTAGGGTTTAGGGTTTAGGGTTTAGGGTTTAGGGTTTAGGGTTTAGGGCCTTGGGTTTCGCTTTCAGGCTTTACTAGGTGGGGCTTTATCTAGACCAAGTAGGTTTTGTACTGTGGTCTTTGGTGAGTGTAGATCTTGAGTGTTCATTCGGGGATTCTGGCAATGAAGGAAACCCACCTCCTGCGGTTTTGGCAGCTGGCCTGGTTTCATAACAGCTCAGCCCTTAAACCCACAAGCCTGAAAAGCGCTAAGCTAAGCCCACCAATATGTTGTATTTGTCTCTAGATTTTGGGGTGCAGAGGGTTTTTACCTTCAACCCGCAACCGAAACTAAAGGCTGGGGTTGCCTGGAGCTGTCTTACTACTAAGGGTTTAGGGTCTAGGGTATCTCCTCAAACCCGCCAAAACCAACTAGCAATAACGAGAGGTTGCGTTATGGGGACGCTTGTCGCGCCTGTTGGTTGCTCCTTTTGTGTTCTTGACCGAGGTGGGGCTTAAGATTCTTAACCAGAGGGAACAGGGTTGCAAGCAGTAAGGAGCGCATCTTGGCGTGGCTGTTTCGGTGGGCGGGGGGGGGGGGGGGGGGTCTTGCATTGACTAAACCCGGAACCCTAAACCCCCCAAGTTTCCCTAAGCCAAAAGGCCTCCTACACTGCCCGAAGTCATCCAAACCTCTCCCAAACCCTAATTGTCCAAGCCCCACCCTCCCAAGCCCCAGGAACCCTAAACCCTCTAAACCCCTAACCCTAAACCCTGAACCCTATAGACCCTAAACCTTAAACCCTAAACGCTATAGACCCTAAACACGAACCCTAAACCCTGAACCCGAAAGGAAACCCCTTTGGCATCGTTTTGGAAGGTCGCAGCCCAGACCCTTTTAACCCCCGAGCCCCCCAAAGGACCCTTCACCACTAGGCCCTCTGGTTCTTAGTAGGGAATGAGGGCATCCGGGCCCTATATATACCCTTTAAGGGATCATATAGGGGTCCCTCATTTCCGAGTTCCTCATTCCCTAAACCCCGAAACCCCGAAACTGAGAAACAACCACGAGGTTGCCCTGCAGTGCCTCTTTGAGCTCCTGAGGGACCGGGAGGCCTCGGGACTTTCCGGATGCCTGTGGTGGGTTTTTTGTTGGGGGGGGTTGGGCTGGGTGGGGGGTTAGGGTTGAAGTTGTGTTTTGGCTTGTTCGTTTTTTGTTTTGTTTTGTTTTTTGGGGGGCGGGGGGGGGGGGGGGGGGGGGGGGAGGGACCTACTACCAACCCCCCCCCCCCCTCCCCCCCCCCCCCCCCCAACCAGCTACTACAGGTCCAAGCAAAGCCGAGCTCGAGGGTTGTTGGGGGCCTCATATTGGGCAGGAAGGCTCTACATCAGGCTGTGCCAGCCGCGAAATGCAACCCTAAGCCCTGGGCCCTAAGCCCTAAACCCTAAACCCTAACCCTAAACCCTAACCCCTAAGCTCTAAGCCCTAAACCCTAAACCCTAAACCCTAAACCCTAAACCCTAAACCCTAAACCCTAAACCCTAAACCCTAAACCCTAAACCCTAAACCCTAAACCCTAAACCCTAAACCCCAACCCTAAACCGGAAGCTCGACATCAGTTCTTGCGTGGCTCAGGACCACTGGGCCAAGCTGGAGCTGATGAAGTACACGGGGTTCCAGGCGCGAAAGGGCGGGCTTTGGAGCTCGGGGCCCCAAGCCTAGGCTTAGGGTTTAGGGTTTAGGGTTCAGGGTTCAGGGTTTAGGGTTTAGGGTTTAGGGTTTAGGGTTTAGGGTTTAGGGTTTAGGGTTTAGGGTTTAGGGTTTAGGGTTCGGGAGTTGAGGGGGTTCTAAACTCCACCCCAAGGCTATGAAGCCAGAAGCCCTAAGAGCCTGAACCCGAAAACGAGGACTCCACGGCCGAATTCTCTTCCGCGGTGCACGCGCGCGGTCTCCTAAAGGAAAGACGTCGCGGTGGGCTAATGCAGCTTTCCATGCCCGTGCCGCCGCTTGCGCCATCGGATCGAAAATCTTCGCTGTCTCAATCCCCAACGTGGAAAGCCCCCACCCATGGGCCCAAAGTTTCCATGTTAACAGAGCTTTCGGGCCCGGGACCGAAGAAGAATGACCGACTGATGATTCGGCCCAAGCCGAGCAACCACATTCTCCGGCACCACATTTTTTCCACCCTAAACCCTAAAACCCTAACCCTAAACCCTAGTCCGGGACTCGGATTCGCAAGGCGAGGTTTCGCTGCCACTACTGTGACCACAGACGACTTGCCCTGGCCTGCAACAGACGGAGCTGCAGTTCCCTATTCAACCCTTAGGCTTTAGGGTCTAGGGTTTAGGTTCAGGGTTTAGGGTTTAGGGTTTAGGGTTTAGGGTTTAGGGTTTAGGGTTTAGGGTTTAGGGTTTAGGGTTTAGGGTTTAGGGTTTAGGGTTTAGGGTAGGGTTCAGGTTTAAGGGTTTATGAAAATCTCTCTCAACCTTCTAAATCCTAAAGCCCTCTAAACCCGATAAGCTCGAAGCCTGGAGGCCCCCCTGAACTGCCCAAACCCTGTCAGGCCCTCAACCTCAAGCCCCTTCTAGGCCCCTAAGCCACTGAACCCCATGACCCGGACCCTAAACTTCCCGAACCCCATCTCAGGCCCTACAAGTGTAAACGCCCTGAACCCAAAACCCTGAACCCGAAACCCGAAACCCGAAACCCTGAACCCTAAACCCTAAACCCTAAACCCTAAACCCTAAACCCTAAACCTCAAACCGAACGAGCCCTAGGGACCCACGCCTCCCCTTAAGTTTTCTGGGGTCCTTTCGAGTGCTCTCTACACAACATACAGAGCCTTCATTCAGCTTTATTCTGGATTTGGGGTTCAGGGTTCAGGGTTTGGGGTTTAGGGTTTAGGGTTCAGGGTTCAGGGTTTAGGTTTAGGGTTTCTAGGGTTCAGGGTTCAGGGTTCAGGGTTTAGGGTTTAGGCTTAGGGTTTAGGGTTTAGGGTTCAGGGTTTAGGGTTTAGGTTTAGGGTTTAGGGTTCTGCTTTGGACCTAGAGTCGATCAATCAGGGGGTGTAAGGTTTATGGTTCGGGGCTGGGTAGGGCCTCAGGGAGGATAGGGCAGCATGCTACATCCGAAACCCTAAACACTTAGTTCGGGCGCGCAGGACCTCAACCCTTACCCCCCCGAAACCATCCTAAGCCCGAAGCCCTACACCCTAAACACCCCTCACCCTAAACCCTAAACCCTAAACACCCCTCGCCCTAAACCCTAAACCCTAAACCCTAAACCCTAAACCCTAAACCCTAAACCCTAAACCCTAAACCCTAAACACCCCTCCCTGGCGGGCCAGAACCTGAAAGAGAACGATCTTCCCGGGCTCAAGCGCATGGGAGCTGGGGCCCCCAGGGCCGTGCCTTGCAGGTTTGTTCTGAGGTTTAGGGTTTAGGGTTTAGGGTTTAGGGTTTAGGGTTTCGGGTTTCGGGTTTCGGGAGGGTTGTTTATGTTTGGGGGGGTTTAGGGTTTAGGGTCTGAGGTTTAGGGTCCTGGGGGTTAGCGCTTTGGGGCTTTAGGGTTTTAGGGTTTTTGGGTCGTAAGGTTTTAGGGTTGTGGGGTTTTCGGGCTTTTAGGGTTTTCGGGTCATGGGGTGTTGAGGCTGTACGGTTGGGAGGGGAGGGGAGGGTGTTTGGGGTTTAGAGTTTGCATAGAGAGTTGGGGTCCAACCCGGCCCCCCCTCCCCTAAGAAATTCCCATAAAATCCTAAATTTTGAGGGACGCAGGGGGTTTTCCGAAAAGAGGGGTACCATCTTGGGAGCTCCTATACTGAGGACTAGAGTATTTTGGTGTATATCAACGAGGGGGGTGGGGGGGGGGGGGATTGCTTGTTTTGGAACTCTAAACCTTCAACGGTGACATTATCACACCCAAGTTGCACGAACACAATGGAAAAAGTGATCGGGGACCGCATTCTGCAGCCCGAATCTTCCCGGGAGTCATGAGGTCTCCGCAAGTATTGGGGGTTTACGAAAATGGGGAACCCAAAAAAGGCCCCAAATAGTAGGATGTCCTGTTTGAGAAGAACCCCAATAAGGTACCCCCCCACTATCGTAACCCCCCCCCCCAATATGTGAGGGTTATGTTGAGGTGTGCGATTCTGACCTATCGCATCTTCCCGAAGGTGTTAAAGCGGTTTTGGGGTATGTATTCAGACATGAAGATATTGAAGATCTATTCTTCGCCAGGGAATATTCCACCCCACTAGGGCTCAGTCTGTGATTTCATTATAAGCTACGAATTGCTTAAGAACCCCCAAAACATGGAAACAAAAAGTCCTCCCGGGAAATAAATGGATTATAATGCCCTTATAAGGGTACCATAGGGATAAATATTTCGCATTTTTTTTTTTGGGGGGGGGGGGGCTTCTTAAGCAAATATTTGTAAGGGGCATTGGGCTCTCTGGGCCCTGTCTTTCGCAGAGAACCCTGCGCCCCCGCGAGGTCGATCAGCGAGTACAGCGCCTGAACCGCGATCGCAACGACGACGAGCTGGCGCGCCTTCTCAAGAAGCACGACCAGGCCCGGCATGATGGGATCCTATACCGCGCCCCTACCTGCAGCTACTGAATTTAAATATTCTTCTTTTTTTGTGTTATTACAATATACGCACATATATATATATATATGTATGTTATTATCCGTCTACTCTAAAGTTAAGGCCCCAGGTATTCCTTAATAATTCAGCCTTACTTGGGCCTTGTTTGTGACACGGGATAGCACAGGTTCCCACAAACAGAAGCCCCTGTCCGGATTCCCGCACCTAGAACCCCGACTGCAGCTCCTGTGTGGTGGCTAGTCTTGTGGGTGATTGTAGCACAATACAAAGACCACTTGAATCCAAAGAAACCACACTTTGGGTTTGTATAGTCTAAAGTTGAATCTCTTATGGCGCTTCTTCTCAGCAGCATACACTGTTGGGGCTTCAGTCTCTCCGGCAAAGCGGTCCCGATGGCGAGATTCGAAAAAGGTGAACATGTCAGGATGTTTTTCGGCGTTGAAGCTATGAAATTTTAGTCTCATATAATCGGAAGATTAGGCACCCACAGAACAATGGAACCGCGTACAATGAGTTTAGGGCTCTGGGCTTTTCATGGTCTTGGCTCAGCCCACGTGTTGGCTTTTTCAGTTTTCAAGGCCTTCGAAGAAACCCTAAACCCTGAACCCGAAACCCGAAGCCCTCAACCCGAAATCCTAAACCCGAAACCCTAAACCCTAAACCCCCCCAAGCCCTACTCAACCCTAAGGGTTGAGGGGGCGGGTGGGTGTGCATGCCAAGCCTTTTTTGATGCCTTTCGTGTGATTTCGGGTGTTGCGGCTTTTTGGGGTTTAGGGTTTGGGGATTGTTTTACATTAGGGCCCCTGTTGGGCTACGATTATAAGGCGGCCCCTAACATTCAGACTACCCAAAAAGGGACCAGCAGTTTGAGAAATGACCATAGGATATTAAGTTCTGTCAATGCGCTCGGCCCATCTGGACTTCGCAAGGAAACCCAGTTCGTCCGTTCAGCTAGGGCTTGGGATTTTAGGGTTTAGGGTTTAGGGTTAGGGTTTAGGGTTTAGGGTTTAGGGCTAGGGTTTAGGGTTTAGGGTTTGGGGTTTGGGGTTTGGGGTTTAGGGTTTAGGGTTTGGGGCTCATTCGCAGGCTCGCACCGACCCGACGGCCGAGCTGGGCAGCGATGATGAGCCCGGTATCGACTGACTCCTCGAGTTTTTCGGGCATCTCAACATCTTTCAGCCCCTATGTAAGAGTTGTCTAGGGTGTTGTTTAAGGTTTAGGGTTTAGGGTTTGGGGTTTAGGGTTTAGGCTGCTATGGTTTTGCAAAGGAGGAAGTGGAGGGGTTTTATTGGGGATTTCGGTTAACTGGCTTGGGATGGAAGCTTCGAGAGTTTTAGGTTCAGGGCGCAACATCATTTGTGCGGCTGCGCTGGGTGGGTTTAGGTCCAGGTTTACACTTGTACTTCTGAAATAACGACTTTTTCGCACTAGCTGCAGTGCCGAGTACAAGCACTTCTTCTCCCGCAGATGCACTGCATCTGCAAGGGACCCAAAAAGACGCACCCGAAAAGGGTAGCTTCTGTGTTAGGTAGGTTCCCGGTCGCCGGCATCCAGTTTTCATCGCTAAGCCCGCCTGCCGCGGAAAGCAGTGCTTGTGGCCGAGGTCTCCTGGCAGGTCTCTCGTAGTGCGCGCATGCACTTCCTGTGGCAGTGACATCACGTGCACCAGGCGCCTGTGCCGTGGGCACCTGTTCCTTGCTTGGCTCAAGCCGTTTGCATATTATGAATTAGGGTATATATTTCTTGTACCCCCAAAAGGACACCAGGTATGTACACTCACCAATATTGAAAAGGAACCTTATGTACACTCACCAAGAACAGCAATATAAACCCTACTTCATATGAGCCTGTCTTTTGGCGCTGGCCTTTGGCCGCGCAAGTCCAAAACCCACACCCTAAACGTCCCTGAACCCGAACGCCGGACCCCCTGCGTAGTGAACCCTACAGCCCTCAGGCCCAAATCCGAAATCCGTAGCCCCCCCACAGGTGTTCATGCACCCAAAAAAGGTAGGTAAGGGACGTAGCAAGTACTTCGAGGTGCAGGCATGTAGGGTTTAGGGTTCAGGGGTTAGGGGCTTAGGGGTTTAGGGTATAGGGTTTGCAGGATTTATAGGGTTTGTAGGGTTTATAGGGTTTATAGGGTTTATCGGGTTTATAGGGTTTATAGGGTTTATAGGGTTTGCGGCCTAGGGCTTAGGGTAGGAAATCCCGATACGAAGGGAGCCATGCCACTTCACAGCGCATCCGCCATCTTGGCGGCCGTGCTGTCCTGCTCACGCGCTGCTCCAGGTCCCTCCCGAAACCCTAAACCCTAAACCTCAACCCTAAACCCTAAACCCCGAGTTTTCCTAAGCTTTTTTTTTTTAACACCCTAAATCGCCTTTACCCCTAACTACCCTTAAATATCGTAAAGCCCAACCATAGAAACCCTAGAAAAGAAACCCTACAGGACTTGTAAGGTTCAGGTTTTCGGCTTTAGGGCTTACAGGAGAAGACCGTTTTTTGTTTTAGTTCCGGTGAGTTCAGGGTTGGAGTTCGAGGTTTGTGGGTTCATAGGGTCTAGGCTTATAAAGGGCTCGGGTTTCAACAGTTTAGGTGTGGGGGGTCAGAACGTTCAAGGTTGACACAGGGTTTTGGCTGGAGGGTGGATGTCTTCTTGGGGGTGTTTGCGCGCATTGCCCCCGACCCTAAACCTTAAACCCCAACGCCCACCCTAACGCCTAGGATCTGGGATCCCCAGTGGTGCCCTTCTGCCTTGAAGTTGGCTTGCTTATGCGAACTCCATTCAGCCGAGAAGAGGAATGGTAAGCACACACCCCGGGCGGCGACCACGCCACGCTGAAGGCGGCGCCCCGGTCGTGCTGCTCGTGTGGGAGGAATTCCACTACGACGGCACTGCAGCGTGGCAGAACGCCTCGAACCCTTCGACGAACTGGGAGCTCTCAAGATTGATGCCAGGGAATTTTGAATGCTTGGAGGCTGGAAGCTGAAATCTGAGGCCTGCAGGCCTAGCAAAGCTCTCCAACCCTGAGCCCTGCAGGCTCCTGGACCTCAGAAGGCTCCTGCACCCTAAAGCGCATAAAGCCCTGAAACGCCCTATAACCCGTAAGCCCTTCATCCCAGACCCGAGCGCCCTGAAGCATGAACCTTATGCCCCTTAACCCCGTCGAAGCCCCAAAGCTAACGGGGGGTACTCTGTAAACTAGTTGTTCTATAACCCTAGTATGGTGCCCTAGTTTAAGTTCCTTATTATGACCCATGGCAAGCCTCACTTCATCAGCCCCCGACTCTGTTTGTAGCTTGGGGGCTTAGGATTTGCGATTTTCAGGGTCTAGGCTTTAGGATTTGGGGTTTTCAGGGTTTGGGGCGCAAGGGCAACAAAAACAACCTTGCAGAAGGGTTGTGGGCTTAGGGTTTTAAGGTTTGGACATCGGCTCGCAACCAACAGCGCACACCCTCAGCCCCCCCAGCTAAAGGAGAACCCACACGCCAGTCCCGTACTGTAACCACTCAACCCCCTAAACTCCCCAAACCCTGAACTCCTCAACCCCTAAACGCCCCCCCCCCCCCCCCCACCCCCCCCCAAAGCCAGAAACCCCAAACCTCTAAACACCCAAACCCCTGAACCACCACGCCCAAGCCCTAAAACCACTGGAAACCCTACAAGAGCCGTAGAAATTCCCAAACAACCCTAAAACCCCCAACTACGCCGCCCCAAGTCCTGGCGGTTGCCCCCCTAAACCCAAAACCCTAAACCCTGAACCCTAAACCCTAAACCCTAAACCCTAAAAAGTACCATGGACCTCCAAGCAGGCTACCCGGAGAGCGATGAAGCCAAGGTCCAGGAAACCCTGCGGGAGATGACCACAGAGGCCTGCTTGCTGGTGCTTCTCTTAGGGTTTTTAGGCGCTTTTTTTGTTTTTGGGTTTAGTGGCGTGTATTTGCAGGGCTTATACAGGGTTTCTGCCCTAAACCCTAAACCCTAAACCTAAACCCTAAACCCTAAACCCCAAACCCCAAACCCCAAACCCTAAACCCCAAACCCTAAACCCTAAACCCTGCACCGCCCCAAGGAGAAGTTCCTCCAGACCTGTATCGACGCGGGCTGTGCGGAGAGCCGGGCCAGGCCTGCAGGGTTTAGGGTTTAGGGTTTAGGGTTTAGGGTTTAGGGTTTAGGGCTTAGGGTTTAGGGTTTAGGGTTTAGGATTCAGGGTTTAGGGTTTAGGGTTTAGGGTTTAAGGTTTGAAATACTTGCTAGGAATATTCCCTCATGATCCCTTTGGAATTATGCGACCAAAGCCCCCCAAAACCCTATTCTAGCTTGTACGGCCCCTATATTGCACTGGTTTTCCTTGGTTTGGGGGCCAGGGGGGGACAGGTTTTGGGGGTTGGGGGTCAAGGTTCCTACTCCTCAAACATGTCGAGGTCTTGGAGCCCCCCCCTTGAAACCCCTCCCTTAAAAGAACCCAAAATATAAGTTTCGGGCTCAGGAATAGGGATGTTCCCCCTTATACTAAGAGTCCTTCATCGGGATTGTAGGTTTAGGGTTTAGGGTATCGGGTTTAGGGTTTAGGGTTCAAATAGGGATCCTGGATAAGTTTACGAGTACCCCTGTAAACCCCAGACCCTCTAAACCCTAAGCCCTACAGGTGCCCCAAAGGCCTCTGTAAAGCCAGCTGTAATGGCCAAACTCTCTAGACCTATACAGCCCCTACATGCTACTATCCTCAACCCCACAAGAACATGGAGGAGGCCCTTCAAGTGTTCCTTGCGGAGAACCCGGAGATTGGGGACCGGCGGCGGCTGCACACGGCGCCAGGAGGTTGGTACAGCATAGACGTCCTCGCGACGGCACTGAAGACCGTAGCGATGAGCAAGTTGGGTCGGATATCGTGGGAACTGGACTTGATACCCGTCCGCACGGCTTCTGAGCTTGCAGCTTGCCAGGCAGTGATTCAACACCAGCCAGCCCTAAAGCCTACAAACACTGCACTCTCAACTCTCTATACAGTATACAGTATAAACCCTAAACCCTAAAACCATACAAGCCCTCACCAAGTCCTATGGCCCTAAGCGCTAGCAGCCCCAAGACCGATAAACGCTCATGGCTATACGCCCTGAACCCTTACCCCTATACACTCCAAGCCCTAAACCTCAAACGAACCCCAAATTTCTCCACCCCAAAAGTCCCTTCCCTTATACTTTGTGCTCTGAAGTATGGGCCCTTGGGATGTATCGGGTATACACTAAGGTATGCGAGGGCTCCCAAAAATGCCGGCAAAGCCGTCAACCTCAGGAGCCAAAAGCCCATAAACCCGTAGACAAATTAGGGTTTAGGGTAGTTTAGGGTTTAAGGTGCAGGGCTCCTAAAGCCCTAAAGAAGCCCCTCCCCCCCCACACACCCCCTTAGCCACACGCGCGCGAGCGCGCGTGCGCGCGTGCGCGCGAGCCGAAGGTGGTTCGAGTGCCACGCCCTGGGGGAGGGCAGCGAGCTTGGGGGAGGCGACTCCTGGTTCGTTCTGAAGGCCGCTGGTTTAGGATTGAGGGGTTCGGGTTTAGGGCTTAGGGTTTTGGGTTGTGGATTTAGGGTTTAGGGTTTAGTAATAGGCTTTAGGGCAAGGCCGCTGGTTTAGGGTTTAGGGTTTACCTGGGACCCTCTTTACCTACAGCTTGATGCGTTGTGAACTGTAGGTAAAACAGAGTTCCTGGTAGGGCTTGGGGTTTAGGGTTTAGGGACTAGGGACTCGTGTTTAGGGTTTATGGATTTGGGATTAGGGTGAAGCAAGTAGTGTGTAAAGTGCTTCGAGGCTGTCAGGCTTTTAGGGCTTTGAGTGGTTTAAGGTTTTCGGTTTTTCAGGGTTGGCCCTGCTTTTCGGGTTTGTGGGTTTTGGCAGGGCTTTATGATGTTCATCTGGGGTTGGTTTGGAAAAGTTGCTAAGCTTCCATGGGCCTGAATCCGTACATAACCCCAGTAACCTACAGGCATGTACACGTTGCCAGGCCCGCAACTCCACCCAGCTGAAGGGTTTTGAGTTCTTGCCTCGGCTTTCGAAGAGAGAATGGCACAGCTTGCAACCCTTCTGGCGAGAGGTCATCAAAACAGGGGATGACCTCCATGAAACTACCCTTCTTAGTAGCCCAGTGGTACCCTTTACCCTTTTTTTTCTGGTTATGGGTTCCCTTATAAAGTAACTAACCCAAAAAACAGGTGCCCTCATTATTATTATTATTATTATTTTGATTATTATTACTATTATTATTATTATTTGTTATTATTAATTATTATTATATATTATATATTTATTATTATTATTATTATTATTATTATTATTATTATTATTATTATTATTATTATTATTATTATTATATATTGTATTATATTATATATATATATATATTATATTATATATATATATATATATATATATTATATTATATATTATTATTATATGGTTACTGGGCTACTAAGCCTTAGAGAGCTTGGGGCTGGTAGAGCCCTAAGCCCTATAGATTCAGCCCCCCAGGGCCTTGAAGCCCGCAGCTCCTAGGGGGCGCTTGTGGGTTTAGGGTTTAGGGTTTAGGGTTTAGGTTCATTGCAAAGGGACCATAGCTTAGAGAACCCATCCCACTCAATCTGCGCCCTACAGTTCTGAATCCGTGGCCGCCTAGCGATGTCTTAGGTAGGGCGGTCTAACGCTCTTGAACGCAACTTGAACTTTCCGACCTCTAACAAGTCGTACACCTCATACGCCCCCCCCCCCCCCCAGAACCCCTCAAACGTGAAAGTTTGAAAGCCCCAAAGCTTAAAAATTCCCTATGCCCACCCTCGCCCTCCCCAACCCCCAAGCCCAAAACCGCCTCCGAACACCCCAGGACACCCCAAAGCCCCCAGGCCTTCAAACCCCAAAAGCCCCAAACCTCCGAAACATCTAGCAAAAGCCCTAACACCCCCATCCCGCAAACCCTTCACCCCCAAAACCCCAAACCCCAAACCCAGATAGGATGCCCAGTACCTTTTTGGGAGGTTTAGGTTCCCTTACAAACCCCTGTACGCAAAGAAGGGGCACCCTTTTTGTTCCTCGGTTACTAGGCAACCCTAAACCCTAAACCCTAAACCCTAAACCCTAAACCCTAAACCCTAAACCCTAAACCCTAAACCCTAAACCCTAAACCCTAAACCCATAGCCTAGTCCCTACAGAAGGGGGGGTTCGCCAACAGGATCTGCCACGGCTCGGTGTGCGTGGCATGCGGATGCGGGATGGACCGAAGGGCCTGACCTGCAGCTCGGAAAGGAGGGGTTTAGGGGGTTTAGGGTTTAGGGTTTAGGGTTTAGGGTTTAGGGTTTAGGGCTTAGGGCTTAGGGCTTAGGGCTTAGGGCTTAGGGCTAGGGTTTAGGGTTCAGGGCTTAGGGGTTTAGGGTCACTCTGAGGCCCTGGCTCAAGGGACTAGAGGAGGGAGCCGAAAAAGGGGTTCAGGGTTCAGGGCTTAGGGGTTTAGGGTGTAAGGTTTGGGGATTAGGGTTCGGGGTTTAGGGTTAGGGAAAAGGGTTTAGGGTTCTGGTTTTGGGTTTAGGGTTTGGGGTTTAGGGATAGAGTTCCTCAACCCCAAGACCCTCAGCTCAACCCTACTCCATCCCGAACACCCCAGCCTGAACGCCCTAAGGCCTAGAGTCTAACCCTAAGCCCTAGGCCCTGACCTGGAACCCTTACTGTCCGGTGCCTAAACTCTAAACTCTAAACCCTAAACCCTAAACCCTAAACCCTAAACCCTAAACCCTAAACCCTAAACCCTAAACAACCCTAAACCCCCACACCCCTCGCAAAGGTCAGGGCGGCCAGCCTTTTGGCCGCCCTTGCCCGGAGGACGGCACCTCGCCCTCCTTCCCCTCGCAGGAGGGGGTTTAGGGTTTAGGGTTTAGGGGTTTTGGGGGCTTTGGTTTTTTTTGTTTTGGGGGGGGAGAGAGGGGTTGGGGTTTTAGAGGGGTTTTAGGGATTTGGGGTTTGCAGGTTAGGGGTTTACGGGGGTTTTGGGGTTTATGGCGGTTGCGCGCTTGAGGGTTTAGGGCTTGGACCATCATAGCACGCATCATTGCAAAGGCTTCAGGGTCCGTCACCAAGCTCAAAGGACTTTTGCAGCTATAGCGAGGACTCAGAGCAGGCCCCTACTCCCTCTGTTTAGGGTTTACGGTTTCAGGGCCTAGGGTTTATAGGGTTCAGGGTTTACGGTTTAGGATTTAGGGTTTAGGAGTGTTTAGGTTTTAGGGTTTATAGGGTATAGGGTTTCGGGTTTAGGGTTTAGGGCTTCCCTTAAAAGCACCCTTTTTAAAGCCCCTTCTTCCTCCCAGTAGGTTACTCTTGGGTCTAGTCAGGGTCCATAAGAGGTTCTTCGAATTAAGGTCCCTGTCCCAACTCCACCCGAGAGCGGGTTCGGGCTTTCCTGATGGTTTTGGGTTGTTTGGGGTTCCGGGTTGAGGGGTTCGGGAGTTTATGGTTGTAGAGTTTCAGGGTTGAGAGTTTAGGCTTTAGGTTGAGGGTTCGCGGCAGGTGCTGCGAGGAGCAACGTGGAACGCCGAGCCGCTGGGCTGCAGGGAAGCCCATCTGATCGCTTTCACCACCCCCGTGGTTTTGGGGTTTGGAGTTGGGGTTTCAGGGTTTTAGGGTTTGCAGCCTTACGCGCTTGTGAGGCGTTCGTTGGGTTCAGGGTCTTTAGGCCTGTGCTCTAAACTATGGCCCTGTTTGGGATCCCTGGTATTCGTCGCACGGCTTAGGGCTTGGGGAATCCCACGGCCGGTCAACACACAACCGCGACAGGACGGAAGGCTTTTGTGGTTCAAAGTTTGAAGATTAAACACCATCACTGAATCCTGAGCCCTAAACACTAAACCCTAAACCCTGAACTGCACTAAATTAAATTAGTCACTACATGCCTGGACGCTAGTTCAACAACACGATTCAAATCCAGCAGTGGCAGGAACCCCCTAGACCCTAAACCCTAAACCCTAGACCCTAAACCCTAAACCACCAGACCTGGATTCGAAGCTAGGATGTCAGTATATGGTACCCTCTTTCCCCGCTGTTCAAGTTGACTTCCCTTCTTCAGTCCCGGTTTAGGGTTTAGGGTTTAGGGTTTAGGGCTTAGGGCTTAGGGTCTAGGGTTTAGGGTATATAGGGTTTAGGGTTTAGGGCAAACCCTAAACTTCAAACCCTAAACTAATCTTTCTGACGAGGTTGGAAGAAGAGATCGGGCGTGCCATAGGCTCACGTGTTCCGGGCAATATCGGGGCAATATTGGGGCCTCGGGTAACGCTTCAGAACTCAGAAGTTCAGACCCTGACCTCGAAACTTGTAGGGTTTAGGGTTTAGGGTTTAGGGTTTAGGGTTTAACTCCACACCCTAAACGGGTTTGTAGGATGTCTGTTTTGGGGGGCAGGCCGACGTATTTGTTTTTTGGGAGGCCTCCCCTAAACCCTAAACCCTAACCCTAAACCCTAAACCTCCGCTTCATTCGGGGGCTCTCTGAATCCGGAGAGCTGCGCACACTTGTCTCGCCTTGGCGAGCCCTATACCCCGAGCCCTAAACCCTAAACCCCGAACTTACTTTGCCGTGCTATTGGGGGCTTGGGTCGAGTTCTTATCACAGCTAATCTCCAAAAGATCAGACTTTAGGGTGACGGTTTAGGATTTAGGGTTTTTGTACTTTTGGGTCTTGGGCTTAGGTGTAGCCCTTACCCTCACCCATGACCCAGGGGTACAAGGAGGGACCCCTAGAAGGGACCCTCAATCTCATTCCCCGAGAAAACCCCGACAAATACCTCATATCGTCCCATATACCTAAGTAGCCCCTAAATCACCCCTAAAGAGCCCCTAAGGTCGCTTTAAACGGCTCCCTCATGAAACCTTTGTCACATTGTGGTGACATTTCACATGTTTATGGGTGCTTAAACTCAATAAAGACTAGACATTGGAGCTTTTAATACTATCCCCAACCGTGAACTAGAAACCGGAGGCCCTGCCCTAAGGAACCCCTCTAAATCCTCCCTAAAGAGCCCCAAAGGTCCCTTCTCTAGTCCCTTGACATGAAGCCCTAAACCCTAAACCCGAAACCCTAAACCCTAAGCCGTGCGAGGGGAGATCGGCGTGTTGCTGGACGTTCATGCTGCGCTGCTCCCCACGATCAACATCCTGCCATGGCTGAACTGGGGCAGAGCCCAGGAAAGCTACGGAGAGGACGAGGGCTCAGGGTTTAGGGCTTAGGGTTTAGGGTTTAGGGTTTAGGGGTTAGGGTTTAGGGTTTAGGGTTTCGGGCTTAGGGTTTCGGGTTTAGGGTTTAGGGTTTAGGGTTTAGGGTTTAGGGGGAGAGGACGCCCAAGCTCAAAGCCTTCAAAACGCGTACCGCGCGCCACGGTGTAGGGCGCAGGAAAGGAAGACATCCCCTCGTGTGGCCTGGAACCCAAATCTATACTCCCCCTTTGAAGCTTTCTCTACTTAAGTCTCCCTAGAGCCCACGCAAACGTTCAAGCTGCAGTTCTGTAAAGGTTCTTCGCTAAACCCTAAATGTCAAACCCTAAACCCCCAAACCCTCAACCCTCAACCCTCTTCAGCCCCTGAAAGTAATTTGGGGGTTTACGAATTAACGACCCCCAATATACACCCTCAGATAGCAGGATTCCCCCACAACAACGACCCCAACAAGGTCCCTATTCTCGTAAGCCCCCATGCAGCCCTGATTCCTAAACCCCAAACCCTCAACCCTAAACCCCGTAAACCCTCGTGGGTAGAGGACCCCTTCTTCAGCGGCAAGATGGGCGCTGCCGTGGTTAGGGGCGTCCAGCGACGGGGATGCAGTTCGAACTTCTTTTCAGGGTTTAGGGTTTTGGGCATAGGGTTTACGAATTTGGGGTTCAGGAGGTTTAGGATATTAGGGGCTTAGGATTTATAGGGTTCACGGTTAAAGGGCTCTGGATGTATAGGGTTCACGGTTAAAGGGCTTAGGGTTGAAAGGGTTTGGGGTTTGCGGTTTGTGCTTTTCCACCATTCCGTTTAAGCTGGAAAGTTTTCCAAACCTCTAAATTTGTTTGTTTGAGACCCCTATACTTGAAAAGCCCAATCCCGAACCGCTCAAGCTGGAGGGGGTTGTGAGGGAGGCTACCTCGAGTCGTCAGGGTCACCTTTTTTTGTCTATTGCAAACTTTCAAAACCCTATATAGGTTTACGGTTCTGGGTTTAGGTTTAGGGCTTATACTCTACCTGAAGCCGCCAGAAACCCTCAGCCGCAAAAAAAGGCCGGGCTGGAACCTTACTTCTGAAGGGTTTAGGGTTTGGGGTTTGGGGTTTACGGTTTAGGGTTAAGGGTTTAGGGTTTAGCGTTTAGGGTTGAGGGCTGGAACGCTTAAGAATATCCCACAACAACGTAAGCGTGTTCTTGGGGTTGGCTTAGGATGCGGGGCTTGGGGTTCGGGCTTACAGCCAGGGGCTTAGTAGGGTTTAGCGTTTTGGGGTTTAAGGTGTCCTGTAGGGTTCAGGCACGACCAAAAAGTGATGGCGACTGCCAAGCACTTCCTGGCCAACAACATCGAGAACACCCGGCATTTGGGCAGCAAGTTCCCCCACTCCGGACCCTAAACCCCGAACCCTGAACCCTAAACCGCAAACCCTGAACCCCCCTCCCCCAAAAGAGGCGGAGTCCAGGTTAGTTGGGTCGCCCCAAGCCCTCTATCCAACCCAACACAAACGAGGCCCAACCTCCATAATCTGAAAGAAAGAGGCCCAGTTTTTTAAACCCCTAATCCAAAAGCAAATCTCTAAACCTTGGCTCCTTGGATTTTGAGCTCCCAGGCTTGTCAGCACCCAGATTGCAAGCTTGAACTCCCCGAAATTTAGGGTTTAGGGTTTCAGGGTTTGAGGGCTTACTACGGCTTAATTACCTCAAATTTTAGGGTTCGGGGTTTAGGGTTCAGGGTTACGGTTTAGGGTTCAGGGTTTAGGGTTTAGGGTTTAGGGGTTAGGGGTTAGGGGTTAGGGGTTAGGGTTTAGGGTTGGTTGAGCAAAGTTTCAGCTTTCGGTTTTTGAGCTGCCAGGTGGTGGGTGAGTGCCGAGATGGACGAGCAGACGCTGCATGACGTCTACCTCAGGTGCTTTGGAGTTCACACTAAACCCTAAACCCCTAAACCCTATGCTCACGGTACCACCTCGAGCTCTTCGTGGCTGAGTAGGTAACCTTTAACCTTTTGGGGTATACACAATCCTACCATAAATGAAAGGTTTAGGGTTTAGGGTTTAGGGTTTAGGGTTTAGGGTTTAGGGTTTAGGGTTTAGGGTTTAGGGTTTAGGGTTGAGGGTTTAGGGTTTAGGGTTTAGGGTTTAGGGTTTAGGGTTTAGGGTACCACCTTGGGGTGTACAGGGGTTCAGGGCTATTTGGGGGTGCGTGCCATCCTGGGATTCTTATAGTGAGGGTCAGAGTATACTTGGGGTGTTCATATTCCCGGACCCCAATTGTCGGAAATTTTTTTGGGGGCCTGAATATTGAGAATAGGGCTTTTGGGGGTTATTAGGATAGTTATAGCTATAAAAGGGACCCTAAGGGAATGCTATTAGTAATTCTTCCGACGCCCTAAAAACCTACAACCTTAAAGCCCCACCTGGGACTCGATGTGCCTACAGTTTAGTAGTAACTACCCTTAATTAGTAGGTATAACCCATAAACTGTAGGTATAGAGGGTCCCAGGTATAGCTTAAACCCTAAACCCTCAACCGTTCTTGTTGGGTTGGGTTGGGTGGACCGGTCGGTCGCCTTTGCATTGCATGACTATAATGGGGCTCCTTTGTCTAGATATAATCAGCAGTTTTGTGATCCCAAACCCTAAGCCTGGATTTTGGAGTACTATACTTCAATACTTATTCTGGTTCTGGGATCCTATGTCTACTTATACCTAAAAAGTATATACTCTTTTTTCAGGGTCTACGCCAAAGCAGGGAAGCCCTGCAACCCTCAACTCGTTTTGTTGTTCTTGCACCGACGAGCAGATGCCCTTTTTGGGGGCTGGGGTTTAGGGTTTAGGGTTTAGGGTTTAGGGTTTAGGGGTTAGGGTTTAGGGTTTAGGGTTTAGGGTTTAGGGTTTAGGGTTTAGGGTTTAGGGTTTAGGGTGGGCTCCAAATCTACCTACTTTGAGGCCGAAAGCCTTTAAATCATGCCTCCTTTTGGGTTGTTGTGCAATCAATTCTAAGTTCTGTGGGCCCTAGTCCCTCTACAAGCCTCATAACCCATAGAAATTCTAGATGTTTTATACCCTCCCCCCCCCCCAGGTTTGATGAAGCCCCATCACCTTAACTTGTCGTAACCCTAAACCCTAAACCCTGAGCTGCACACCCTAAATCCCTCAACCGTAAATCCCTAAGCCCTAAACCCATGTCTCTAGGGCCTGGGCTCTGGTCGTCCGGGAGTCTGCCCCGGAGCTGGTGATGACTTCCTACAACAGGCTAGGAGGGTTTAGGGTTTCGGGTTCAGGGTCCATGCAGTGCAGGGTTGAGGGCTTCATAGCGTTGGGTTGAGCTCTGGACCCTAAACCCTGAAAGCCCCAAAAACCTGAAGGGTTTCGTGGGTTGTTGGGGTCTTAGGGTTTTGGTGGATTGTAGGGGCTCTCAAACCCTAAACCCTAAACCCTAAACCCTAAGCCCTAAACCCTAAACCCTAAACCCTAAACCCTAAACCCAACGCCCTGGCAGGGTGCAGGGCCGATGGCCCTTCGCCGATCCGACGCTGGTCTTTGGCAGTGTTCTTTGCTGCTTCCTGCTTGGGTTTAGGGTTTAGGGTTTAGGGCTTAGGGTTTAGGGTTTAGGGTTTAGGGTTTAGGGTTTAGGGTTTAGGGTTTAGGGTTTAGGGTTTAGGGTTTAGGGTTTAGGGTTTAGGGCTAGGCTTTAGGGTTGAGGTGGGATTGGTGTGGAACAGATTTAGACTTTCTTTGGGCCTCCACTCCATATATAGCCCTATATCAGGTCAAATAGGAGGTTAAATCGGTCCCCGCGCCCGCCAGCGTGAGGTTCAGGGCTTTGCTAGGGGCTGAGGACCTTAAGAGCCCAAAAACTTGTTTTTTTTTTTTTGGTATTTTTCTGCTGCAGAATGTAGTAACAGTAACTCGGATTTTTGGCGAGAAAGCCAGCTTCGGGGTTTGTGAGGTGTTTAGGCTTTAGGGCTCTTAATTTGAGAGGCATGGTCTAAGTAGGGGTTGAGTTTGTGCCAGGTCAAAACCCTAAACCCGCCAACCGTGAGGTTTAGGGTTTAGGGTTTCGGGATTAGGGATTAGGGCACCCCAAATTCCAAAGGAAGTTCATCAGCATTCTGCGCGACCAGCTCGGCTTTGATGGTAGCATCATGACGGCGGCTCCGGCTAAACAGGGGGCGGGGGCGGGAGGATTGAGCAAGCAAATGCCATAGCTCCCCAACCCCAGGGAGCTTTTAGGGTTTAGGGTTTAGGTTTAGGGTTTAGGGTTTAGGGTTTAGGGTTTAGGGTTTAGGGTTGTGGTTTCAGGGCCGCTGGTATTTCGTACAAACCCTATCTCAGGACGAGTCCAAAGGGTGTGGGTAGTGCCAGTTTCCTGACAAGGCTCCGCTTACGGTTCTAGTTGCCGGCCCCTCTGGCCCCATGGATCACACTCTCTGAAACACCCGACACCCCAAGCTCCGAAACCCGAAACCTCAACCCTCCCCCTCTGAGCCCCCCCCCCCCCCCCCCTGTAACCCTAAACCCGAAACCCTAGACCCGAAACCCTACCCCCCCCCCTCCCCCCCCGGGCAAACCCCAAGCCCCACCAGGACTGGTTTGCTTCCTGGGAAGGCCGGGGCCGTGGGAAGACGTAAGTCGGATTCAAGAGAGACCCTGGAAGCCTCTTTATACCTACAGTTTTGTGGGCTATCCCTGCTAGTTAAGGGCCGGGTTGGGCAAGCAACGGCCTGCAACGCAAAATCCGAAATGCCCTTAAGCTTGAGTCGTGGATGTGGGCCTTTGGGCTAAGGATTCTGTGGTGGAAGCGATGATGACTCCAAAACAGGGGTGCACTTTCCATTCCCGCACATGCGCAAGCCCAGAACCACCAACTATCCCCTGACCCCCACTCCCCCCCCAACCCTTGCAAACAGGAGTACAGAAGTGGGAGCCGTGAAGCCACTGATAATCATAGCCATGAACCATATCCATTTAGTAGTAACCTTGATGGTCGTCGGAACAACAATGAAACTCCCGGCTCTCCTGCGGACAGCACAGCCCCTAAGAGTGGCAGGCATCACTAGCGGCCGGATCCTCTTCCACGAGGGGACGTCTTCTCCCTACTTCTTCACCCCCCCGGGCTACATGAAGAGCAACAGCGGCTCGGCAATCGGAGGTTTAGGATCCAGGAGGGCTTATCAGGGTTGGGTTTCGTTTTAGACATTGTGATTTTGGGGCTTGAATTACCCTGAACACTCTTCTCCAAGCTGCACGACTGCACCCACTCTTAGTAGTTCTGTCTGTTTTTCTTTAGGAGTTGTTTTGATTGTAGCTCGAAGAGGAGCACGGTACTTTAGGTCTTTGGTTCGTGGAACAATATACTCAAGGGACTAAGGAGGGACCCTTAGAAGACACGTTAATTAGGGGTTATATAGGGGAAAGGGATTAGGATTAGGGACCCTTCTAGGGGTCCCGCCTTATACCCCTAAACCTACCCTAAACCTCATAACCCTAAACCCTACTTTAGCCCAGACGTTACTAGGGGTCCGTCCTTATTCCCCTCGACATACTCCCTTGCATGGGCAGTGCCCAGATCGATGAACAGGCCGGACTGAACACCCATAACTTAGTATTAGGAGCAACCCATAGCCCTAGACGCTTGCGAGTTCTCCAACTCCTCCCAGCGAGAAGAACAACAATCATAACGATGCTGCGTGTTGGTGTTCGAAATACATGCAGTAATCGTAGTGATCGTAATCGTAAACACAAGAGTATACTAGCAATAGTATTGGTTATAGTTATAGTCACAGCATAATTACTGGCAATAGTAGTTGCAAGAAGCAAGGAATATGGACAACTCAACCCAGACCTGCGAGGCCTCTACGGGGCTGGGGTGGACATGGAGATGCCCCTGTGCAACAAGAATCGCGACGCCGTCTCTGAGGCCCCTCCAGGTAGGGTTCAGGGTTCAGGGTTCAGGGTTTAGGGTTTAGGGTTTAGGGTTTAGGGTGTAGGGTGTAGGGTGTAGGGTTTAGGGTAAGGGGACTCTAGCCCTGGAAGGGGAGAAGGGTTCAGGGTTCAGGGTCTATACACAGGGGTTGATCCACATACTGGTCTTTCTGGGTTAATTCTCGAGGTTTCTATGGCTTTAAGGAAATTCTCAAGGTTTCTATGCCTTTATAAGGGAAATAGGGGCGTATTTCGGGAATATGTTTCACTTTGATCAGCTACCATATGCGCACAAGAATTGCTTGAGCCCAAGTGTGCCTGAAGGTGGGAAAAGATAGATGGAAGGGGTCCCTCAACAACTTAGGATCCTCTTTTGGGGCAGTCCCTTATTCGTACGCATTCAGGGTCCCCAAAACTGGCCCCAGAATTTGCATCAGCCCATTGCATTTTGGGAAATGTCCCAGAGATTCGTTCGGGCTCATGATTTTTGAGTTTGGGGAATGCCAGGGCTTAGGAGGGTTCAGCCGGGTCAGTAGACCCCAAAGCGTAACACTCAAACCCAGGGTTTAGGGTTCAAAGTTTAGGGTAACCCTCAACCCCCAAGTCCCTACACCCCAAACCCTAAACCCTAATCCGAGCACCTGTTTATTTGGCCCCCCCCCCCCCCCACCACAATAAGAAAGGCAGGGTTCCGCAATAGTATGACCACGGCCCTGTATTGATTCTCCATGAACAACAATAGGCTGCAGATCCCCGAGGTGCTGTAGCTTCGCAGCTCAGCAAGCAAAACAAGAAGCCTGCCGACAGATTTTGGAACCCCCCCGAAAAAGTTTCTTTAAATGTGGTGGAGTTTCTTTAAATGTGGTGGAGTTTCCCCATACCAAAACCCCCGCAATGGAAAGTAGTCTTCTGGCGGCCTTCTCGACAACAAAAACTCCTTCAAATGTGAGGGCGTGAATTAAACAGGTGCTCGGATCAAACCCTAAACCCTAAACCCTTTTCGTGCAGGCCCAGATGTGCTCCGATGCCCAAGAGAGCTGCGCGACCAAGCGCTACCTGGATGCCGCGGTGGAGCGCATCCTTCGATCCAAGTCCCGGCGCTGCGGCGGCAAAGTTTCGGGGTCCAAGGGCTTCAATAGGGTTGAGGGGTAGACAGGACCCTGTTGTAAGGGTTGGGGTTTAGGGCTTAGGGTTTCGGCTTTGGGGCTTGGGGCTTGGGGCTTGGGGCTTAGGGCTTAGGGCTTAGGGCTTAGGGCTTAGGGCTTTGTAGGGTTGAGTGCTTAGGGTTTATGGGGTCTAGTTACATTTAGGGTGTAGGGTCAGGGTGGAGCGCGATTCTTAAAGCCCCTAACTCAAGAATTCACAGCCGAACCCTATAACTAGGCCTTTCTAAGTCTTGGCAGTTCCAAAACCTAAACTCAGGCTCTCAACCCTAAACCAGCCTCCCGAAACTCCGGGGCTGTGGGTCTAGGACCGAAACCCTAAACTAGTGGTTTCGGGTTCTACTTGGAGGTGCAGGATACTTTTAACCCCAATTATAACTGCACTTCTGAGCCCCTAATAAGTCCCCTAGCAGGTTAGAAGTAGACCTATAGTTGGGGTTATAAGTACCCATGAGCCTCCAAGGAACCCCAAACCCCAAACCCCAAACCCTGAACCCTGAACCCTGAACCCTAAACCCTAAACCCCAAACCAATCTCTCCACAAGGTATGGGCTCTTCGGCCCCAGTCGGAACCACAGCCTGGTGTCCTGGGACAACGAGAAGTTCGACAGGCCAGGCGCTGCAGTTTAGGGTTTATGGGGTATGGGGTTTAGGGTTTAGGGTTTAGGGTTTAGGGTTTAGGTTCATGACAGTGGCTAGGGCTACTCTTGCTGCTACTGCCGCAGCTCCTGCTATGCCTACTGCCATGTATCTGCCATTCTTTCCTACTGCTGGAGGATGCCGCAGCATCCTGTGCCCGAGACGACGGCTTCCAGCACCCCAAAAATCGATTCCAGCGCGACCTTTTTGGTTCATGGCTTCGAAGCTTGCGGTGCCGGTGGAGCGTGGGGACCTGGAGACGGCCTCCACAGAAGATGGGCTGTCAGAGATTACGCTGGAAGGCGGATCTAACAAGGCGGAGCAGGGTTCAGGCAAAGGCAGCGAGGGGACATCTGGTGTGGCGGGTCTCTTCCGCTCGGGAGGTGTGTTGCCTTCGGCCATCTGCTTGAGCAAAGCAGGCATTGGCGCTGGCATCTTGTCCATCTCCGTACATGCCGCAGAAGTGGGTGCCCTCTACCAGTTGGGCTGCCTGCTGATCGGCGCAGTGCTGACTGTGGCAAGCATCCGTATGATCTCCGTGGCTTCCGTGGAGACCAAGTCGTGGAGTTTCGAGGATCTTTGTGAGAGCCTCTTCCACCCTTTCATGTCCTTCATCACGGGCTTCATGAACACCTGCAACTGCCTTGGTGCTGCGGCAGGATACCTCATCGTTTGCGGCCAGGTCTTCGTGGTGATCTTCGATGCGGACCAGCGTGCCCGCAACATCTTCGTGGTCTTGGTGGGAGTCTTCGTGTGTTGTCCCATGGCTCTCGCCCGAGATATCGCCTTCATGCGGCACCTGGCAGCCCTCAGCGTAGCTGCGTTGGCATTTCTGGTGATCGTGGTGGGAAGCTACCTGGGCCAGTCCGGCATCAACGAGAGCATCACGCCGGAGACCTTCCTTTTTGGCCCCGGCCACGCTACGATGATGAGCTACATGGGTGCCATCAACAATATGGTCTTCGCCTACAACAATCAGTTCAATGTCCCACAGCTCACTGGAGAAATCACACCCGAGCCGTCGGTGAAGCGGATGATGCGTGTGGCCTTGCTGAGCTCTGGCCTCAGCTTCGTGCTGTACGCCACCGTGTCCATCCTGGGAGTCTTGGCTTTCGGAGTGGCTGATGGCCAGAAGGACTCATTGATTCTGGACCTGATGCCCGTGAGGAAGCAAGCTTTGGTGGTCATCTCTTTGGCCTCAGTGATGTACAGCGTGCTGACTTGCTTCCAGTTTCACATCTACCCCGTGCGGCAGTTCCTGGCCTACGCCGTGCGGAAGGTCCGGGGCCGCGACGCCGATGCCCAGGCGACGGATGTCGTGGTCTACGGCCTGTCCAAGACTCGATGGTATGACATCTTCAGTGCCCTCGCCTCTGTGGCCTTGGTGGTGCTGGTGGCTGTGGTCATCACCAGTCTGAAGGAGATGCTGGACTTCATCGGCGCCTTTGCCTCGGCTTACATCTCCTTCATCGTGCCACCCTTGTGGATCCTGGCGCTCCGTCGCAGGGACACGAAAGGCTTCTCGTGGTTCACCAGAGAGATCCTCCTGACCCTGGCCTTCCTGGCTCTGGGCATCTTCCTCTTCGTCTTCGGCACGTACACGGCCCTCAAGCAGATTCTTGAATACTGAGAGCTCTGCCTGGGTCCTTGACCTGTGGGATGCTGTGCATGAACATACTGCCATAGAACGGTCATGAAGCACCATGCCATGACCATTCTACGAATTCAATGTAAACCCCCCCGCGCCCGCACGAGGCCTCTTTTTATCAAGCTCTCGGCCCCTAAAATGTACAGCACGTGATAAGCTCCCGCAGCCACCAAAGCGTCGTGCCTCCTCCACAGAGACGGCACGCCAGCTAAGCTGCGGCTTGCGAAAATCGTGCACGGCTATATACTGGGTTGTGCTTTGTTGGGATTTGTTTAAAAGTTTTGCCTTTTTCTTTATAAGGGAACCTATATTCATGAATCATTAATTTTCGAAGGGCTTAAAGCACAACTCAGTACAAGCATCGGTGCCGAGAGATCCGGAGCAGACATCTGAAGGCCCGCTCCCAACCCTCACTTCACTGCGGCAGCGCGAGGGCGCTGTTGGCTGTGATGATGGACAAAAATTGGCTCCGTGCAAGGGTTCAGGGTTTAGGGTTCAGGGTTTAGGGTTTAGGGCTTAGGGTGACGAGGGTACGAGGGTGTGTCAGTCAGGGTTTAAGGTATGCGTAGGGTTGCTCTGAATAAATTCCGGGCCTCTTTGGGGGTGGGGGGGGGGGGGGGGGGGGGGGGGGGGGGGGGGGGGGGGGGGGGGGCCGTACTTCATGTGGAGCGTCTTGTGCAAATCTTGAAAGACGGCCCTGATGAGCCTGGTGTATCCTGAGCTAGCAAGTTCGGGAAAAGGCCTGCAGGCCATACTTCCTCAAAAGCTTTACTAAACCCTAAACCCTAAACCCGAAACCCCTCTGAGGCTGTCGCTGAGAGCTGCCCAGGAGGGCATGGTTCTCCTGAAGAATCATGGCCTCTTGCCCCAGGCGCTGTTGTTTTGGGCTTAGGGTTTAGGGTTTAGGGTTTAGGGTTTAGGGTTTAGGGTTTAGGGTTTAGGGTTTAGGGTCTGGAGGATCCCAGGGTCTCCCCGAAAGCCTGTTCTTTTTCTCCTTCGGGTTTAAAAGGACGGTTTTTGAAGACAGCGGCCATATGGAGCGCATCCTCGCTCTTTGTTCTCCCTAAAGCAAAAACTTAGAGTCTTTAATTGGTGTGAAGGAAGAACTGAGTTGGGTTTCCAAGAGCTGTTATGCAAGTTAGTCTGGGCTCCCAAAATCATCTGCAGTGTTCAGAGACGCCGAGCGCGGCCGCAGGCACCAGGCGTTCGTGTGGCGGTGCTGGGCACACCCGAGGCTGGGCATGAGACTGAACGCCCTAAACGCCCTGAGCCCCTCGTGTCCCTTTAGCTACTTGGTAGCCCAGTGGTGCCCTTTGCCCTTTTTTTTGGGGGGGTTCTGGGTTCCCTTATAAAGTACCTAACCCCAAAACAGGGTGCCCTTATTGAAATATGATGCGCCCCGCTGGTTCTTAGTAGGGACTGCGGGAATTAGGACCCTATATTTACCCTTTGAGGGATTATATGGGGTACCTCGTTCCCCCATTCCCTACTAAGCACCACCCTAAACCCTAAACCCTAAACGCTAAACCTCCCAAAAAGCCCCAACGTTCAGACGCTGGAGTTGGGCGACCATGGCTCCAGCGCGGTGAAGCCGTCGGGGAGGCCGCCAAGGGTCAGGGTTCAGGGTATAGGGTTTGGGGTTTAGGGTTTAAGGGGTTTTTGGGTTTCTTTGTAGGCAGGCTAGTGTTTCGTTCGTTTGACGACGCTTTAGGGTTTTAGGGTTTAGGGTTTCGGGTTTAGGGCTTCGGGTTTCGGGAGGTTTTGGATTTTGGGTTTAGAGGGTTGCATCCTAAACCCTAAACCCTAAACCCTAAACCCTAAACGCCTTCATGCCCCCTCCCCCATCCCTTCCTTGCGGCAGAGGCATGTGACAGTTCTGCAGGGCCTGCAGGACAAGAGCCTCAGCAGCAAGGCGTTACCACAGTGATCAGGGGTTTAGGGCATTGAGGATATATTTGGGCATTTTGGGTATTTAGGCTAAGTTAGGGCAGCGAGGGTATTTTGGGCATTTGGGGTACTTAGGGCATTTTGGGCATGTAGGGTGTTGAGGGTATTTAGGGTTTTTAGGGGGGCTGTTCGGGGTGTTTGTACGGGTTTCAGGTTAAGGGTTTAGGCGCCTCCAAAGCACTCGAGACTAAGCCCTTGTTACTCCCCAAGCTTCTACAATACGGCCCAAAACCTCACAGAGCTCCAAAGCCCAATGCCCCAAACGCCAATCCCCCCCAAATGGCCAAAACTTTAGTTGATGCTCGCCATTCCCCAGAGCTGAGAAAGCATGCAAACAGGCCCGGTTGCTGGGCCCCTAAACCCTAAACCCTAAACCCTAAACCCTAAACCCTAAACCCTAAACCCTAAACCCTAAACCCTAAACCCAAAAGTTTGGTTTGACAGTTTAGGGGTTTAGGGTTTCGGGTTTTTTGGTGTTGGGTGTCTAGAGAGGGTACCTGCTCTACTTGGAGCAGCCCCACAATTTTAGAGCTCGGCGTTTGCCGAGGTTCGGCGCGGAGAATGTTCGGCACATCGCGGAGGAGTCTTCGGAAAACACAGCGGCTCGCCGGATTCGAACCCCGCCGCGCCAAGACACATCCCCCCCCCAGTTTAGCACTTTTAAGAAGGTTTGGGGCACGGGGGGAGGGGGGGGAGCTGGTGTTTAGGGCTACAGGGTCTATCATTTCCTGAATATCCAATTTTTTTTACTTGTTGCATGGTACTTTAAACATTGACATAAAGCTTGGTACCCACAACCTTTGGCACGGTCTTTCCAAGAGGGGTTTTGGGGCTTAACGCAGTTGCTTGCGATTTCGGGGCTGTCGCGGAGCAACCGAAAGATTCGCCACACCAATCTTCTAGGAGATTACGGTTCAACATCTTGGGGAAAAGGGGTACTATCTGCAACTTCTGTAACCCAAGTGTGAACAGGCCGCTTCTACATAGGAAACATAGGAAAGACTCCACATGACAAGATTGGGGTACCTAGTCTTCTGCTTAGTGCCGCAGCTACCTCCAAAAGATTGTACCTGAAGGCTCTTCTTTTTTTTCGTGCCTTTTACTAGGGGCGTGTTGCCTCAAAAAGGGCACTGCGTAAGACTAGGTTTCTTAACCTGTAAACCTATAGAAGCATACCAATTTTGTTCCCTTCAGATGTTTGGGAGAGGTGATCAGAACTGAGTCATGAAGCAGGAAGGGAACTCCTAACTCAGCATAAACCCCACACTATCCCTAAACCCTAAACCCTAAACCCTATAACCCTAAACCCTAAGCCCTAAACCCTACAGCCCTAAACCCTAAACCCTGAACCCTAAACCCTAAACCCTAAACCCTAAACCCTAAACCCCAACCTTCATCCTGTGAGGCCTACCTCACGAGCGCGGGGCTCGTGGTCATCGACGTGGGCCTGGACCATCTTTTCGAAGGAGAGTCGGGGGCCTCAGTCCCTAAGCCGGTTCATGGGATTTAGGGTTTGGGGTTAAGGGTTTAGGGTTCATAGGGTTTAGGGTTTAGAGTTTAGGGTTTGGGGTTTAGGGTTTAGGGTTTAGGGTTTAGGGTTCACAGGATTTAGGGTTTGGGGTTTGGGGTTTAGGGTTTAGGGTTCATAGGATTTAGGGTTTAGGAAATTCTGGTGTCGTGACTCCTTATGTGTGATCCCCTGACAAGGATGATTTATCTCTACGAAGAGACAGTAGGCGCTTTTGGGTTTGTGGGCTACAGGGGCTTTACGTGGTAGGGGTCTGAGGGTGTTAGGGATTTAAGGGTGTTTTTCGGGTTTAGTTTACCCTGAACCCTAGACCTTGAACCCTGACCCCTAGATCCTGCATACTAAACTCTAAACAGGGTTTGGGTCTCAGAGTCTGTTTTAGCGTTCTCAGTCTCATGGTGGTAGGGTTTGGGGCTACATAGTTGGTTTAGGGTTAGGGTTTAGGCTTGTTCCACTGTTTTTAGGGCAACGGGTTGCTTGCAAGCTTTGCATCATCCTGGAGGAATCCCTCCCAGTCTTCACCTGACTCTGAACCCTAAACCCTAAACCCTAAACACTAACCCCTAAACCTTAAACCCTAAACCCTAAACCCTAAACCCTAAACACCAACCCCTAAACCCTAAACCCGAATTATTTCAGAGGAGCCTTGATTTTCAGGGCACAAAAGGGTATCTTTGAAGCGTACTTTGGGGCCCCAGGTTGCTTTAGGACCTTGGAAGGGTTACCTAAACAAAAAGGGTTCTTAGGGTTTACGGTTAGGTTAGGATGTTCCCCCCCTTATACGAACAGTCCTCAGGGATTCTAACAGGGGATACTCTCATCCCCGTTAATGACTGTTAGTATAAGCTGGAGCATCCCAAGGTTTCGTCTTTAAGAGCTAGTTTTAAATCTTTAGGGTTTAGGGTTTAGGGTTTAGGGTTTAGGGTTTAGGGTTTAGGGTTTAGGGTTTAGGGTTTAGGGTTTAGGGTTTAGCCTGCGCCTGCACCGAGGTTCATTCCGCCAGAGACCGGCGGCGACAGAAAGTACCTGACGCTGCCACTCGACCATGGGACGCCTAGCCTCCTAGGACTCAGAGTAGGCCCTTATTCCCTTTTCTTGGGTCTGGGTTCCCTTCTTAGCCTCTTTTAAACCAAGAAAGGGTACCCTTCTTATTTCAGGGTTACTCTTATGTCTAGCCTCTACAGACCCAGAAACCAGAATGGGCTGCTAGTAGATCTGGAGGGGGCTTCACGGGGGGTAGGGAGCAGGGATCCTTAGGGAAGCTCCCCCCCGCAGAAAACCATCGCTTCGAGACATGCTCATCTGCAGTTTAGGGTTTTGGGTACGGCTTGAAAGGCACGAATTTCGGGATTGAGGTTTAGGCTGCTGGCTCGAACTTCTTTCTGGCGGGCGGTAATGTCCGAAGTGTTTTCCCCAAGCTCATGCCGAATTTGGGTGAACCAGCTACAGTTAGAACCCTAAACCCTAAATCCTAAACCCAAAACCCACGCTGCCGGGTACCAGCACAAGGCAGCCTTCTTAGACCATGTACACAATCCAGGTACCGGTTCTGAAGTTCTTTTCACATTCCCTTCGCGCTTAGATCTGATTGCTTAGATATCAACGTCTGGCGACAGAACTTGCGTCATGCCTGAATTATAAAGCAGGCTCCTATGCAATGCTAGTGCCTTTTCAGGTAGCATACTATAGCCCCCTTACCTAGTCACAAGACAATCATAGGTCCTTCAGGTCCCACACTAAACCTCAAAGCCTAAGCCCCCAACCCTAAACCCTACAGCTCCATGTCCCACGCACCTTGCACACACCACTCAACAACTCTCTCGAGACCCTGGGCATCTACACCGCAGACGCCAAACTGAGGGCTTAGGGCTTAGGGTTTAGGGGGCCTTTTTTTGAGTCGTCTGCTCACCCCTACTCCCAATTTGATCCGTGGGCCATCAGCATCGTGTGTTTTGTGTTGAGGCTGATTCCCAAACCGTTTCCCTCAGGAAAGCAGAGTTGCACAAGGAACTTCCTCCGAAGTTTCCCTCAGGATATATGCTGCCACCATGCGGTGGCTCAAGCCGGCAGCAAGGAAGAAAAGGCCTTGCTTAGAGTAGGAGCGGCCACTGTAGTTTCGACTACAGTGGTAGCGGGGCCTAGTTCTGATCCTGGGGGCCTAGTACGGGTACTGCTCCCAATTAGAACCTCCGCTGTTTCCTGCTTGCATGGCCACGGCCGCGGCTGACGGCGAACCCCAAGTGCCAGACGACGACACAGGCCTTGAAGAGCCTCAAAGCCAGGAACCAGAAGATCCCTGGCATGACGCTCAGCTTCCTCGTGGCTCTAGAGCTGGAGGCGGCAGCTGGGCGACCGACGCAGAAGAGTACCAGCAGTTTCTCCGCTTCTTGAATCGTGACAGTCGTTCCAGAGGCAGGGCTTCGCGCCGAAGGGGCGATGACGATGACGATGACGATGACGAGGCTGGCGGTGGCAGGAGCAATGCTGGACCACCTCCAGCCTGGGACGGCGCGTCGCCGTTCAAGGACTACCTGGTCAGGGCTCGGCTGTGGTTGGCTACGACGAAGACGAAGTTCTATCAGTCTTCCTTCCGAATACCTTGGATTCCTGCTCACCATGGCGCTCCAGCTCAACCAGGAGGAGGTCAAGCTACTGATGAACTTCACCCAAGGGAAGCTAAGCCAGAAGGATGTGAAGGAGTGGGTGAGGGTTCACGAGACCAACCTTGACCTTCGCCAGTCCGCTCAGCAGAGCCAGGTCCAGAAGAAGCCCGTTGCCAATGCCTACTACACCGTCGAGCCCGAGACAGCGACTCAGGACTACGAGGACTTCCACGGAGACGGACCAGACGAAGGCATCGAGGTCCTCCTGGGCGCGATTGAGGAGCTCGACGGCGAGGTCCCTGGAGATGAGTCCGGGGAGTATGACAATGGCACGTTCGACGAGGACGAGGCGAAAGAGATCCTCTCGACAATGGTGCGCGAGCATGCGGTGAAGAAGCGCAGCTTTGTGGCGGTGAACCAAGCAAAGAAGGCCAAGAACCTGGCCCGAGGATATGGAAGTGGTTCCAGCTACAGTTCTCGGCAGGGACCACCTTCGAAGCACAGTGGCCTTGAAGGCTCCTACAAAGTGAGCATCTCCGCGCTGAAGAAGCGCACACGATGTGCTCATTGTCGACAAGTCGGGCACTGGCACAGAGAGTGCCCCAACAAGGACCAGAAGCCGCCGCAGAAGTCTGGCGACCATGGAGTTCATCTTCTTGAAGAGCCTACCCACGAAGCACTTTTTCTCGGCTTCAATGACTTTCTGAAGCTCAAGGCCGCGGCCCAGGCAAAGACGCAGGACCCGAGCAATGAGCCCAGTAGCAGTTCCGGAGCACGTTTTGACTCGCAGCTCAACTCCGCATACAAGGACCGCAGTCTTATGCATGAGGTGTTTTACGTTCACAAGCATCAAGAATGTCCTGAAGAAGCATGTGCAACAGTTGACACAGGTTGCCAGAGGACTGCAGTAGGAAGCGAAACCCTGAAGAAGATATTGGAGCAGCAACCAGCACCGCTTGGCATGGTAGTTAAGAACGAGACCCATCACTTCAAGTCCATTAACGGGGTGTCCAAGACTGACAAGGTTGCGTGCATTCCAACAAGTCTGGGTCCAAAGGGTTGTGTTTTGAGGCCAGCCGTGTTCGAGGACGAAGTCACAAAACATGCGCCCTTCTTGCTTTCTCTGCCGTTCTTACTACATTGCAGATCAGTTCTCCACCTTGATCCAGTTCGAGGGTTGGAACTCGAGCTCAAGAGATATCAGCACCGAGTGCCTCTCCACATTGGCCCGACTGGAGCCTTAAGGGTTCCCCTCCAAAATTTTAGTCCACAAATGCATCGCGAACTCAGTCAGGCCCTGGAATGTCTTAGAGAGTCCGAGCCCGAGGGTCTGCACCATCTCCGCCTTGATTCTGACGATCGGCTCAGCAATCAACCCTTTGCTTTTACCTCATCCACGTGTGCATCCTCAGCACCTTCGCACCAGTATGCCCATGGAGAAGAGAGCTCGCAAGTTCCAGGAGCCCAGAGAACCGAGCGACGCGGACTGGCAGTGGAATCGCATGGTTCTGCGCTTCATGATGGCCATGACGCATGCCATGCAGCAGTCAGTTCTGAACCACTTGTGTGTTCGAGGGCCCCAAGAGGAACTGTACCGCCGTATGGTCAGCGACCTGCCACGGCTCACGACACACGAGCTGAGGCAAATGCAAAAGCACATCAAGCAGAACTTGGAGTGCAGAGAGGTAGAGGGCCTGGAGGAGCATCAGTGGGATGCTCAACGACCGTGGAGTCGGGAAGTGACTCCAGAGGACGCAGCTTCGACAAACACCACCGGCTTCATCTTGGTGCACGACGAGACAGAGCTGAACAGTCCAGTGGTGGAGCGGTGCCATTGTGGCCTCGAGACCGTGACCCTGGAAACCAGGAAGGAGGGCCGGAACCACGGGCGACTCTTCAAGAGATGCCCAAACTGGCGGGACGTCGCCCATCGATGCAACTTCTTCATGTGGCTGGAGGAGCAGCCGAACTGGAGACCCACGCAGAATCACGAAGCTTGGGCGCAAGGCACTCCAACTTCGACCACAATGTCACCGACGCCAAGGACTCCTCCGACCAAAGCTTCCCCGACGGCCAAAGGTTCGCAGACAACGACGGCGAAGCAGCCCGGGACCAAGTCACCTTCCAGCAGCTCGATGCCACCAACACCAAAGATGCCCAGCCGAGGACAGGAGTCCAGCCAAGACAACTGCCTACATCAGTTCACGTGCCATGCGGGCTCCAACGGCTATGTGTTCATCACGAGATGTCGGGACTGCCAGAAGATCCTCAAGCGGGAGGCGCGCAGACCAATGTCGGCGGGGGCCAGCAGCCAGCTGGGCCCAGAGATGGAGGCGACAGCCCAGAGCGACCAGTCAACGGACGACTATGCCGAGTTCCAGCAGTTCAAGAAGTTCCAGGCCATGCTACGTCGAGAGCGCCGGGGCTGAGCAAGGACCTTGGCAAATCCAAAAGCCGAAAGGTGCTCAGTGTGCTCAAGGAAGCAGAGCGGCAATGGACAGAAGTAGAACGCTGTCTATGCCATCCAAAGCCGAGCGAGCCTCTCCAGCAGCTAAAAGAAAGAGCCAGAAGAAATAGGACATCGCGAAGAGGTCCCACCAGCGCGAGAAATGATGCCCGAGGCCTTCGGGGTCACCGAAGACATGCTGAAGCAAGTTGGTTGGAAAAAGCTGGACACAGGTGCTTGGATGTACTTGCAAGAACACACCGAGAAGGTCAATGGGCCCGAACCCGGCCATGAGGCCTGGCGGCTCCCTTGGCGAACCTCTTGGACCTGGAATGGCGCAGACTGGAGCCTGCTAGAGGACGAGGTCCGCTGGCAAGATAAGGCCCAAGACACCCGCTTGCAGCCCAACACTCGTTACCTCAGCATATACCAAGCCAGATTGGATCAGCATGCAGATCGGCGCATGAGACATTTTCCCGGCATGGCACGTGTGACCTTAGAGAGAATGATTCGGAAGGCTCACGAAGGCCTGGGACATCCTGAGCATGGTCGTTTTCTTCGTATTCTCAGGCAGTCTAAAGCGTCGGAAGAAGTTATCGAAGCAGCCAAGCAGTTCCGGTGCTCCACCTGTGAGGCATATCAGCTTCCAGATCCGGCGCGAAAAGGCGCACCGCCCAAGGAAGAACTCTTCATCAATGAATGGGTTGGGGTTGACACAGTACATCTTCGTGACCATCAGAATCAAGCTGTACCAGCCTTGAACATCATTGATTTTCATACACACTTCCAGTTGGTGACCCCTATGGACAAAGAATCAGCAGCTGAAGTAAGAAAAGCGTATCGGCAGTGGGTTCGGTTCTTCGGGGTGCCCCGCAAGGTTATGTTTGACCTGGGAACAGAGTTCAAAGCCGAGTTTCGCCGTCAGGTGGAGAACGATGGAAGCGAGGCGTTGCCAAGTTCCCTGGAAACTCCAACTCAACGAGGCCTCACAGAACGGGCCGGTGGAGTGTTCAAGAACATCCTTTACAAGTCCATGCTCGACTACCAGTGCCAAAGCCGAGAAGAGTGGAAAGAACTTGTAGACGTAGCCTGTATGACACGAAATAGGTTGCTTCTTCGAGGGGGTTACTCTCCCATCCAGCGCGTGATCGGATACACACCTCGTCTGCCAGGTGGCCTCTTGACTGGTGGCGCAGATGACCACACCATGGCAGGCCGCATTGTCATGGGAGACAGAGACGTGACTAGATCCATGAAGATGAGAAAGGCGGCTGCTGTAGCGTTTCATGAATCGGACTGTGACCAAGCCCTGAGAGCCGCTACACTAGCTGGACCACGTAAGCTTTGCGATTTCGAAGTCGGCCAGGCAGTCTACTTTTGGCGGAGGGGTGCTGGAAGCACAAAGAAGACGAGGCAATCATATTGGACTGGGCCTGGGCGAATCGTGATGACATCTCTTCCCAATGCCATCTGGATCGCCTATAGCAACACCTTGATTAAGGCAGCCCCTGAACGTGTTCGACATGCAACAGCTGAAGAGAATATGTCCATTTCAGGTTGGTTGCGTGGTATTTCCAAAACCCGGCAGGACTTCGAGAAGCTCCCAAAGAAGGGGTTCGTAGACCTAACAGGAGACTATGAGATGCCGGGCGAACTTGAAGATGATCTCCAAGCCAACGAACCACATGATGATACTAATCCTCTCCAAGGCCCTGAACCAGTATCCGGAGTCCCTCCTCTACGTAGAGTACGACAGAAAACCGGAGAATATGAACATGCAAAAGAACCACTAGGGCCTCCTCCTGGTCTTACAGAACCCCCAACCGAACCGAGAGGTGAACCAGAAAGAGAACAACCTGAAGTTCCCGCTCTTGAACCTGTAGGCCATCTTCCCTTCCTGCCAGGTGAAGAGCTCTTCGACCGCGGCATCGACGTCGACGAGAATGAGAACCACGAGCGAGGCCAGGGTTCTTCAGGGACAATTGCTACAGGGTCGTCTGGGTTTGCAGACAACAAGAGGGGTCCAGAAGACAGAGAGCCAGAACCTCCTGGAAAACGTAGTCGAGTACATCTTCTTGAAGTTTATGCTCTACATCTTCAAACGTTAGCAAGGGCTCGACAAAAGAAGGAGGTCAGAGCGACCGACTTCAAAGGAGCGGATGCGGTCAAGTTGCAGCGAGCCATTCTGAAAGAAATCAACAACAATCTCGGCACCAGGGCATACGAGTTGCTGAGCTCAGCTGAGTCCGAGCAGATTCTCAGAGAGAAGCCAGAGAAAGTGATGGAGTCCAGATACGTCTTGACAAAGAAGCCCTTGGAGCCAGCAGAGGTCGCCGGCGCCGAGAGTGAAGGGCTGTTGCTGAATGATGACACTCATGGCCCTTGTAAAGCAAAGTGTCGACATGTCATGAAGGGATACTCAGAAGAATCGGCGCTGGACGTTGAAAGCACCACGCCTCAGATCAACAGGGATACAGTGATATTCCTGCTTCAAGTTCTCGCCAGTTTGGGTTGGGATCCAGGTTTCTTGGATTTCACACAAGCCTTTCATTCAGGGGATGCCATCAAGCGCGAGCTCTACTGCAAACAGCCGAAGGAGGGCATACCAGGCGCCAAAGCAAGTCAGTTGTTGCGACTGCTGAAAACTTGTTATGGTCTCACAGACGGGCCTTACGCTTGGTACCAGCATCTCGACCGAAAGCTCAGACAACTAGGATACAAGGCAAGTCAAGCAGATCCGTGTCTGTATTTCTTGCATGGCGGTGCTGATCCCGAAACCCCTGAACTTGAAGGTGTCATCGGTGTTGCGACTGATGACTTGTTACACGGTGGCAACGAAAGACATTGGGCCAACATAGCAAGCATAGCCGCCGAGTACAAGTTAGGCAAGAACCAGAGGGGCACGGGCAGATTCACTGGTAAGGACATTGAACTGCAGGCCGACGGGTCCATCAAGGTGAGTCAGGCCTTCTACGTGAAGGAGAAGGTCCAGATCATAGCCCTGACCCGAAAAAGAAAGCAACAGCGGTATTCCAAGTGCACCCCCCAAGAAATTGAAGCCTTGAGAAGTTCATTGGGTGTTTTATCCTGGTTGTCAAAGGAGACCCGGTGTGATATTGCCGGAAGAGTGGCCTTGTTGCAACAAGCCTTCCCAGAGCCCAGAGTTCAGGACCTGGTCGAAGCCAACAAGATCAGTGAAGAGGCTAGAAAGTACGCCCATCTTGGCATCAAGGTCATGCCGATTGCGCCGGAACGACTGCGCATCTCGGTAGTGACGGATGCTGCCTGGGGTAACACTAGAGATCAGCCCTGGATTGAAGACCATCCCGATGACTACTGGGAAGAAACCGAAGGAGAGTGGGTGAGGCACCACGTTCAACCAAGGCGCACGACATTCCACCCTGGCGCGGCGCCAGGTGGACCAGACCTCCACAGCCTGGACAGGAAGAGACAGATCTCCTTCTTCGCTCCTGAGCCCGACGGGGAGATCAAGAGTGGCATGGTTGAAGATGACTGGTCCGATGGCCATGGAATACGAGTTCTTCAAGACCAACCGTGGACAGGAAGGACAGTGTTCAACAAATGTCACGACGAGAAGATCACCAACCAGAAGATCCACAGCAGTCTCGCCCAACTCCAGAATCTCAGCAGCCAGGGTGGCCAGATCATCCTGTACCACGACCGCTCTCTTTCCGAGACGGAGCAGCCGGCGATGGCTACGGTGGCTTCGTGGAAGAGTTACCGGCTGAAGAGGAAGACGGTGGACACGCTTGCTGCGGAAGGACAAGCTCTACAAGCAGGGCTCGGCAGCATTCACTGGCACCGATTACTCTTCATGGAAGCCTTTTACGGCATGCTTTCGGCGAGTGACTGGAGAGAAGTAGCAGGTAGGTTACCTTTTCTTGCTGCAGTGGACTCCAAATCTCTTTTTGATGCCGTTAACAAATGCGCGTGTACAGCTTCGTATGTTAGCGACAAACGAACTGCCATTGACCTTGCAGTCATAAAGGCAGATTTGGCACAGACAGGCGGAACCATCCGCTGGATCGACACAAGATCTATGTTATCGGATCCACTGACGAAGCAGCATCCAGGAACATATCTAAGATACGTTCTTGACAAAGGTTTTTGGGCGATAGCAGAGGAAGGACATGCTCTTCAGGCCAAGGCCCTGGAGCGGGAAGCAAGACGCTTCTCCGAGAGTATGTTCCTAACGTTTTGGGAATTTAGAGTGTGACCGGTGTGTTTTGTGTTGAGGCTGATTCCCAAACCGTTTCCCTCAGGAAAGCAGAGTTGCACAAGGAACTTCCTCCGAAGTTTCCCTCAGGATATATGCTGCCACCATGCGGTGGCTCAAGCCGGCAGCAAGGAAGAAAAGGCCTTGCTTAGAGTAGGAGCGGCCACTGTAGTTTCGACTACAATCGAATCTGTGTAGGCCCAGACTTATCCTAGTCAAACTATCCGTAACCTTCTTCATGTCTTCAACCCTTTATGTAGACCCAGAGTGGGCCCAACCAGGAAAGGGCACCCTTATTCTTGGATCTTGCTAGTTCTTTACGTGCTGTAGTCCCTTAATATGGTCTCCACCTCCGAAAGGGTATGTAAGCAGCAGGGAAGCAGGTTTAGGGTTCAGGGGATAACATGTCTGCCCCCATTACGAAGGATAAATACAGGGCCCCCCCAAATCCTAAACCCTAAACCCTAAACTTCCTTCAACAAAGGGTTCCATAGGGTCCCTAAATCCCTGGAGCTATCGGAAGGCACGCGTGGCAGGAAGCGGTCATCCACAAGGCTTTAGGGTTTAGGGTTCAGGGTTCAGGCTTCAGGGTTTAGGGTTTAGGGCCTAGGGTTTAGGGTTTAGGGTCTAGGGTTTAGGGTTTAGGGCTTAGGGGATGAGATCTTGTTTTGGGGCATGTTGCTCGCCTGCCGGGCTCATTGACTCATGGGCTTGGGTTTGAACGGTTTAGCGTTTGTGGGCTTCCGGGTTTGGAGAACTCATTAGGTTGTCAGAACTTGTAAGGTTTTCTTGTTCTTTTTTTCGGATCCTGAGCCCGAAGCCCTGTAGTCTCCTCATTTCATTGTAACGCAAGAGAAGAAATAGGCCCCAAACCCTAAACCCTACACCCTGTGTAACCCTAGTTTTCATGGGCCCCCCCCCCCCCCCCCAAACCCACAGCACGTCGCATCTGCATCTCAGACCTGGCCAACCCTCCGAAGCCCTAAGCCTTGAACCCTAAGCCCTAAACCCTGAGCCCTAAGCCTTCAGCCTTAAGCCCTAAACCCCAAGCCTTAAACCCTTACACCCTAATCGCTAAACATCAAGCCTTAAGCCCTAATATAGGGGTCGGAAGAATTACTAATGGTATCCCCTTAGGATCCCTTTATAATTCTACTATAATCACCCCCCAAAACCCTATTGAATTTATTCAGGCCCGTATATTCAGCCCTAAACCCCTAAGCCATACTTGGAGGTTCATGGTACGTAGTCGTAGTATCCAATTCTAACTGTACTTATATCTGTACTTGTAACCATATCAGGGCACATAAGGGGCTTCTAAGTGGTATGTAAGTACAGTTCTAATTGGTTAATAAGTAGCCTGAACCAAAACCCTAAACCCTACAAGTACCGTCAATTTGGTTAATAATAAGTACCATGAATCTCCAACTGCTCGCGAGGTAGCAGCTCTGAGCCAGAATGTGGTCGTGGTGATCACATCAGGCCATGGGCTGGACTTAGCGTTTAGGGTTTAGGGTTTAGGGCTTGGGGTTTTTTGGGTTTAGAGTTTAGGGCTTGGGTTTTTAGGGTTTAGGGCTAGGGTCTAGGATGTAATTGGCATTTCGGGTGTGGGGTTTAGGGCTCGGGGTTTGGAGGCCTTAGGGTTTAGGATGTAGGGTGTGTAGGGTGTGTCGGGTTCAGAGTTTTGGGTGTAGGGTTTACCCTAAACCCTAAACCCTTAAACCCTAAGCCCTAAACCCGAAACCTTTAGGGCTTAGTGGGGGACTTTAATGATTTAAGTCCATTCTTTGAGGCTTCATGAGCCCCAGTAGTAGTGTGTGTGGGGGGCTTCAGGGTTTAGGGTTTAGGGCTTGGGGTTTAGGGTTTAGGGTTTAGGGTTTAGGGCTTGGCGTAGGAGAGTTTAGGACTCAGAGCTCAGCAGAGTTGTGTTGGAACAAGGCGAAAGTTCATCGGGCCCCCAATGCCGAAATTACCCCATGGACCCGTCGACTTGGCTAGGTGACCTATCTATAGAGCCCCAAATGCACTCTGAAGGCCACAGCAGATTGCCCCAAGCCCTGCGTGCTTTCTGTATGGGCCCTAGAAGTGGAGGTGCTGCCGTGATCGTGGAGAACTTCGTTGACAAGGCTGCACGGGTGAGTGAGGGGGTTTCCGAAATTACGGGTACCTTGTTAAGGTCCTCCTTATCAGGGAATCTTACTATTTGCGCAAAACCCCCTTTTTGAGGGGCCTGTACACCCTTGGCTCTCATGCCCCTTCCCAAAGAACGCAAGCAAACCAGATCCCAGACCCGGCCAGACCCGAAGCCCTAAACCCTAAGCCCTAAGCCCTAAACCCTAAACCCTAAACCCTAAACCATATACCATATACCATAAACCATAAACCATAAACCATAAACAATAAACCCGAACCCTAAACCCCAAGCCCCAACCCTAAACCCGAAACCCTTATCCCTCACAGGTGAAGGGCATCATCTGGATGGGCTATCCCGGTCCGTGGGGCGCTCGAACGATGCCCCTGAACCCTAAACAATCCTATCTAGGGTTTAGGGTTTAGGGCTTTGGGGTTTAGGGTTTAGGGTTTCGGGTTTAGGGTGATGAAACTCCCCCAGTGTCTCCGTGTCGTTTCTTTGGTGGCATCCGAACTGTACCATCCGAAGGCTACACTGCCCCACCCGCGTCCCCCACCCGGCTCTGAGCCCCCCGGCTGCACCCTGAACCCTGCGAGCCCCTCTCAACCCCGAAACCCCCTGAAACCCCAAAACTCCAAACCCTAAACCCTAATCATTGCCCTATTCCCTAAAACCCTAGACCTTAAAACCCTAGAACCCTTATCCCTAAACCCTGAAACCATTATCCCTAAAACCCTAGACCTTAAAACCCTAAAACCCTTATCCCTAAACCCTGAAACCCTTATCCCTAAACCCTAAACCCTAAATCCTCAGGCTGGGTGGCCAAGCCTTGGCGAACATCCTCTCTGGAGAGGCGCGTCCGCAACGCAGAAAATGGATGGGGCGTGTGGGGTGTATATAGGGTTCAGGGTGTATGGTTTAGGGTTTAGGGATGGGATGTTCCCCTCAGACTAACAGTCCTAAATAGGGATTAGAGTACCCCCTACTAGAATCCCTATTCAGGACTGTTAGTGTAGGGGGGAACATTCCAAGCTTAGGGTGTACTGGATTGTTACGGCTTTGTTTTAGGGTACAGAGGGTTTATCAAAGGGGCTGGGCATAAGGTTTAGAACCTCGGAGCTGACGGGGTGTGCAAAGAATGTAGAGTTTAGGGCCCTCAGACGGTCTTTCAAGGGTGTGTACCCGGTGTAGCCACGATCCCAAAAGCCCTGGTTAAACACCTGGAGGCCTACTCGAAAAATGCCCTAAGCCTTCGAAGCCCTAAACCCTCAACCCTCAGACCCTGAACCCTTGACCCCAAATCCTAAACCCTGAACCCTGCCTCGCAAACCCTAAACCCGAAATCCTGAACCCTGAACCCTGAACCCTAAACCCTAAATCCTAAACCCTAAATCCTAAACCCTAAACAAACCCTAAACCCCACAAACCCGGAACCCTGAACCCTGGACTCAGAAAGTCCGAGCTTCCTTCTTGTTGCAGGTGAACCCCAGCGGGCGCATGCCGATGGTGACACCGAAGCGACCGGAGGCCAGGGGTTTAGAGGGTTTAGAGCTGAGGGTTAGGGTTTAGGGTTTAGGGTTTAGGGTTTAGGGTTTAGGGTTTAGGGTTCAGGCTTCAGGCTTCAGGCTTCAGGCTTCAGGCTTCAGGCTTCAGGGTTTATGGTTAAGGGTTTATGGCTAAGGGTATAGAATTTAAAGAGCTTCCGCAGGCTCAGGTTGCGTGTTCAGAGCTCACGGTTGAGGTTTTTTCAGTGTTTAAGATGTTTTAGGGTTCAGGGTTTAGGGTTTAGGGTTATTAGGGTTTAGGTCTCTTTTCGAACGCCCGGTGGGGTGAGAATCTGCCCAGCTGCACGTGTCTTCTACCTGAGAGTTCCCAAAATCCCTTCCTAAGACCCACCCCCGAACCCTGCACGTCGGCAGGCGATCACCTCTACTAGCAGCGTAAAACTTGGGATGTTCCCCCTTAGACTAATCGTCCTTCATAACCATCTTGCAATTCTGTTTTTGGGTAGGTGGTAGCCCCAAGCCTAAATTTTGAGGAAATCCTGCACCCCGACCACTGCAGCATCGCCCAGCCCAGAGGGTAAACTTGCAGCATCCGCTATGGAATGTAGCACCCCCAAAGCCCTGTGTAGTATAATGTTTGGGTTCCAAGTTCCAACCCTGAGCTCTTAAACGACAAAAAACTATGGAATCCTGAACTCTAAACACTGGCTACTATACCCTAAGGTACAGGACCCTAAGCCCAAACTGCTAAACCCTAAACTCTAAACCCCCAAACTACTAAACCCTAACCCACTAAACAACCCGTAAACTACAAAACCCTAAAACCCGAAACCCTAGACCTGAAATGGCTAAACCCTAAGCTCAAAGCCCTAATCTACTAAACTGCCAAACCCTAAACCCTAAACCCTAAACCCTAAACCCTAAATTTAAGAGCCTCCGGCTCAAGCCGCCGACCCCGCTGGAGCATAGTTGAGGGTCTAAACCCGCTCGCATGGTTCCCAGCCTGCTTGGCAGAGTTTTGTGAAACGTTTGGGGGGGGTAGGGGGTAGCACCGCCGAAAACGCTGATTTTGCTGAGGGCGCCCCTACCCCCCTGTGCTGAACCGCCTGTTTACGCTGTGCGGGTGGCGCCGTCCTCCACGAAAAAATTGTGCACCGACCCCCCCCACCCCCCCCCCGCGTTTTGGGGGGGTAAGGAGGGAAAGAGGGAGGTTTTCACCTCCTTTTCCCATCCAACACGCCGCCAGGGTCGGCGGACCCTAAACCCTAAACCTTGACCTGCCAAACCCTAAACCCTAAATCCTAAACCCTAAGCCCTACATTCTGATCTTGGGCCACGGTGCGGAGGACTACCTGCCTTCGGGGATCAACTTGGAGTCAGGGCCTCACCTGGTTTAGGGTGTACGGTTTGGGTCTTATATTTGCTGAAGGATCCCCCCCAAAAATCTTTCTCCTTATAAGGATACGGGTAATCTGGGTATTCTTGTCTTTTAGTTTGGTGGGGAGTTCTGAAGCAAATAGTTGTAAATGGGGACCTACACAGACTTAAGCTGGGGCTTAGGGTCTAAGGGCTTAGAAGTTAGGGTTTAAGGGCTTCGGGTAGAACAGTTTAGGGTTTATAAGAGTTAAGGAATTGGAGAGTTTTGGATTCGAGACTTCGTCTACGGGGGAGAGGCGGCCTCAGCGCCGGCGCGCAACGACGAGAGGGAAAGCTACGTGCTGCCATACAAGCCGGCAACAACCAGCCTGCTCCAACCCTAAACCCTACACCCTACACCCTAAACCCTAAACCCTAAACCCTAAACCCTAAACCCTAAATGCAGATACCGGCGTCGGCCTCGGCGGCCACTCCCCTGGGTTTTCCGTATTCCAGCAGAGGCTCTCCGAGTTCCCGCAGCGTTGGGACCAGGGGTGTTGCA